TTTGTTTGTGTTTACGAGGTGCAAACTCTAATGAAGTATTAACAGTCACTTTCCTGTCGAGGTGTTGCTTGCGGTTTTGTAGAAAGCAGGAAACACATGCGTGTTGAGGAACCACAGAGAGCCGAGACGGCAGGCTTCTCACAAATGGGTTGTCGCCACCGTATGTCTAATTAGAAGCCGCCGAACACCTTACAAGGCCACATGCTTGGGTTTTGATTAGCGGTGTTTGGAAAAAGGCAGACAGGAAGCTGGCTCTCGTTTCGTTGGGAGTGAGGTTCGTAAAATTGAATAAAAATTGAAAAGAAATCGCAGGAGGCTCGAGGGAAGCAGGGATGAAGATAATTTCACATGGACCTCGGCAGCTAGGGAAGGGGGGCCAGTCTATAAAAGGACATGGGAGACACGGGATTGGCTGAGACGGCAGATCAACAAACCGCTGGATTGGTCGGGGAGGCGAGAATGACCTGAGTGGAATGAAGAAACTCTCCAAATAAGGAAGAGAGCTGTGGGAGCTGACCTTCAGAGAGACGAGCCGGAGGAGAGGGAGTGATGAAAGGACGAGCGCTAGGATGTGAGGGGAGCGAGAGACGAGGCAGAGTGTTTGTGTTTGGGGAGCTGAGAGCATGGATACTAAACTACCTCAGAGTCCCCTCCCCAGTAGAAAGCACTGCTGGGTGTAAAACGCACAGATAAACACCCACCAACATACAGCACCTTGAATTTGAGTTCATTTCATAAGAGACAGAGCTTATTAAAGAGAAAGTATTATGTAAAACCAAGTTTTTTTTTTTATTTAAATCATGTTATAATGTTTCCTCATCAGACACACCTGGAGTTTTGCTTTTGATTCTTTCATGCATGTTTGAGAAATCCTTTAATCTCTCATGGCAACCATGAGAGATTAAAGGATCTCTCATCCTTTAATCTCTCATGGTTGCCATGAGAGATTAAAGAATGGACATAGTAGTCCACTAAGTGTGGACTACTATGTCCACACTTAGTGGACATAGTAGCTATGTCCACTAAGTGTGTTCACTTAGTGGACATAGCTAAGTGGACACACCTTAGCTATGTCCACTAAGGTGTGCAAAACACCTTAGTGGACATAGCTCCGCCTTCGAGATGGAGTTCATCCTCAAAGCTACAGTTTCCAAGTTTCCCCCTGACAGAGCAATCCTCCACCACAACTCCTCCACTCAGCTCCTTCAGACTAGCCAGCAGCAATTAGCAAACGCCTGTTGGAACTGAGCATCTGCTGAGCTGATAATACGAGCTACTGCTCAGTGAAACACTGGCAGAAATGTGGTTAAAGGGTTAACAGAGGAGCCATGTTGTGATGACTTCCTAAAGGTGGAGTTTCAGAAAGAGCAGAAGTTTTTAAAGAGACAGAGACCCAATTTGATCGTCCAATTTCTTTAAGTCATATTTGAAGAATGCAGCATTCTTATAACAACTGAAGGTGACATAGTTACTTGATTGTGCTGCAAAATGACTCTTATAAGATTGTCACAATAAAAGCTGCAAAAGATTTCAGAGTGGGCTGTAATCTTTAGCAAGATGCTACAAGTTTCATCTTGTAGCAGGATAGCAACTTTAAACATACAGCAGAGCCACAACGAAGGGGTTTAGATGACATGATAGAAACATACATGAAATGATGTGTCTGTGCCTGGATATTGAAACCAAAATTCACAAATACTCTTCATCCAGTCTGACTGAGTTAAAGATATTTTGCATAAATCTATGGGCTAAAATAACTGTAGCAAAAAGCGGTTCCATTAAATATACCATGGAAACCCATTTCTGCCATGAAAAAAACGCCCAACAGGAAGTCATAATTTTCAGTTCTAAAGTCATATTTGTCATAATAAATGTCATAATTACAAGAATAAAGTCAGAATTTTTACTTTTAATGTCAAAATTTTAAGATAAAATGTCATAAATTCAACTTTCAATTATAATTATAAGGTATAAAGTTATAATTTGGACTTTCAGTCTTTAATGAGATTCAAAGTCATGAAACAGTTTGATTTTTTTTCTCACAATTATGACTGAAAGTAAAACATTATTTGAGATTCAGTCAGAATTATGACTTTGAAAGTTGAAAATGTGACTTCTTGTTAGTTTTTCTTCTTTCCTTCATGGTGGAAATGAGATTCAATAAAATACTGACTCTGGGGCTGAATACAAATGCATGATGCACACTTTATATTTATTTGTAACATGTAGAAAACATGTTACAACACATGCTTTGTTAAGGTCCAGACTCACAAAATCCCAACAAAACATCGAAGCTTGCGGCTGTGATATGAAAAAAAAGCCAAGGTCTGCAGGGTGTGAATACTTCTGGACTATGTAAACACACAGGGAGGGCGACATTTTTTCCTTCTGAGATCAATGATTCTGTGATCAGGCTGTAGCTCCAAGTGGTAAATGCGGCTTATCTGCCAATAGACTCTCAGTTGGTTGACCACACAACTCCCACTTGTAGATCTCAATTAGAGGGCTCCGTAATGGGAACACACTCCACTCTCGGTGACACGGCTGTCACCGAGAACAAACACAGACGGGACTCGCAGTGATTCGCCCCTCAGAGTCTGTGAATCAGAGGTATGACTCGCTCCGTAGTGGAACGAGACCTCCCCGAGTGGCTGTCTGACTCCTGCCGGTAACTAGACTGGGCACATAAAACACCCCACTGGAGCGCATCCCAGTTCTCCCACCTTCCACTGGTTCTGCCGTGACTCATCAGCCGGCCTGGAACGCGCCGGCTCTAAAAATAGAGCCATAACACACCAGAATAGAAATGAGAAATTTCTAATAACAAGAGCTTTGCTTCATGGCTCAAAAATGAGGAAGAAAATCCTTCTCTTGAGAAATACTCGTGGAAATACTTGTGTGAATATAAAGCAGAACTATGCGGTCAGGATGGGAGTGCTCACACACGCCAAGCAGAGAGTTGGGTTCTTATATTATTCCCACACCCTAAAACAACACACACTGCATAAAGCTATTGTGCTCCGTGTGCTGGACACGTAGATAACGTCTTCATACACACCTCTAACATATGAGGGGTGATAATAACAGAGAGCTAATTCAAACCAAAGCTCTCTGATGATTAAAGGATTAGTCCAAAATCCTTGAAGTGAGGTTTTCTGGAAGCATCGAACATCTTAACTACTGTAGATGAGTCACCTGGGTTTATACTGAATGAAGAGGCTAACGGCTAGCCTGATATTGGTCAAAATTAAAGCGTACTCAAAAAAAGGTCCTTTATATGAACATTAGCTTATAAACCTTTTAAAAAGCATCACTGAATCAGTTGCTTATTTATGTAAAAGATAAAGAATATTTAGAACGGAAACAAACTTTGGTTTAGCCGGGTTTTCAAAAGTGGCAGGGATGTGACATCATGCAGTAGCTCAAGAAATGTACAAATGTAAAAGTACGCGCATTTGTTTGCTGTACATATTATTACGCTGCAAAATTCATGTGTATGAAGTTTTCTTGTGTTTTTCTCATCGTACAGTTTTGATTTGTAATTTCTGTCAAGTATTTTGACTTGTTGGTTATGATAGCTTCTTTTTTTTCATCCAAGGAACACGAAAACAATCTGTCATTTCCTGGTGGTGACAGAAAATGACAACACCACAGAAATGCAGCTTTTGATTAAAACTACATAAAAAGTGTGGATGTTTAATCCCTCTGGGATTAGCTATTAGCTTTACCATCCAGGAGCAACTTTTCTGCATTCATGAAAACACCTTCATTTAATAAAATATTTTCTGTCAATCAGATGTTAACAACTTGAGCATTTAAAAAAAAAAAAAACTCAAACTGCCTTCTTAAAGGGGCAGTATTATGTGTTTTTCAGGTACATAGTCCCATTTTATAGCACAATCAAGTAACTATTTAACCTCAGTTGTTTAAAAACATCTTGTATATATCAAATATGACTTAAAAGAAAATTTTCTTTGTAGTTTAACCCCTTGAAATTGGGCCTCTATCACTGTAAAAATTGCTGCTCTTTCTGAGACTGTGCCTTGCGGAAGTCATCACAACATGGCTCCTCTATTAACCCTTTAACAACATTTTTACCAGCGTTTCACTGAGCAGTAGCTCTTATAATGAGCTCCGCAGATGCTCAATTTGCTAATTGCTGCTGGCTAGTCTGAAGGAGCTGTGTGGGGACTTTCTCTGTGAGACGGAAGCTGAGGAGGAGCTTTGTCCTCGAAGGCGGAGCTAGGTCCACCCAGGTGTTTTGAACAGGTGAATGGTTGCCATGGGAGACTAAAGGATTTCTCAAACATGCATGAAAGAATCAAGGCCACACTTCGAGTGTGTTTTTGATGAGGGAACAACATTATAACATGATATAAAACTCAAAAAGTTGATTTTACATGATACTGCCCTTTTAATATCTTGCTTTGTCTCTAAAACAATGCCAATTGTTTTAATTGGCATGGAAACTGGAGTCCTTCTTATGTCTACTTAGTTTCTGGCAGTTCAAAACGTCTCAAACTTTAAAAAGTTTTAAATTGTTGTAATACATGCTGATGGTTTTGTAAGCAGCTGCTTTCTGGCAGTGTGTGCTCACACTGTGGAGGGGAGGAGCCCACAGAGCGACTGACTCATGCAGAGAAAAAGAAATAGAGAAAGAGAGAGAGTGAGAGAAAGGCAGGGAGGCGGCCTGTGTCACTGTCTGGCTGCCCACAGCTATAAAAGCCGCTCTGTACCTGGCAGAGCAACACGGAGACGCTGCAGCGGTTCATTCACACCGAAGATCACCACGCTAAAGGTAGACTTTTACTTTTCTTTTATTATTCTCTTGTGTCAACTGGGAGTTTATTCTGACCGCATTACTCAGGCTTTTGGTTTGGAATGACAGAAAGGGAGGGAAATGTGCTTTTCTGTAACTTTTTAAGAGTTTCACATCAAGTAGAGGAAAGTTTTAAAAAATGTTATCTCCTTTTATTTCTCGTTTTTATTATTCAGTCTTCTTTTTTTTTTTTTTTTTTTTTTTTTAGAAATCCAAATGACCAAATGATGATGTAGATTATTTTAGCTTTCCTCGGCCTGTGCTGAAATCCTGCGTGGTCAGAGAGGCTCTCTGGTGTTTCTGGGAGCACACAGAGGCTTGAGTTTGATACCCATTCATTTAGGTGAGGCTTATAAAGAGGGAGCCAGTTCAGACTGAGGAAACCAGAAGGGGAAAAGCATCACCAGAAACCCGTTCTCCCTCCAGACTGGTGTCTGTAACAAACTCAGACTGTGTTTATGTGGCGGGGTTCGTGTGTTTGCCGAGCTCCCCGGCGGAGTCGGATGGATTAGTTAACACAATAGACTCTCCAGAGTGAGAAAGTTCGTGGCTTGCTGCGCTCCAACTCGTTTGCTGGCTGATTTCTTCACTTTCTGCATCTCCTCCTCCTCTTCCTCTCCTTCCACTCCTGCTGTTAATCCCATTTGATGGCGATCTCTTTCGCACTCCAATCCAAAGAAGAATGTCTTCAGCATTCTTGCAGCAGAGGAAACTCACTTGAACAGAGAATAAGAATAGGAGAATGGATGAAGATGAAGCAGCCTTCATCTGTTTTACGCCTAGATATAAAACGCATATGAAGCTTGGTAGGGGGAGGCGACGGTGTAAGACGAGAAAGAAAGAAAGTAGGACAGGGAGAAAGTGTGCGACCGTGAGTTGTTGGAAAAGCGCTCTGTGCTTCACTTTAAAGATTGTAAAAGAGAGGAGGGGTGGAGTGGTGGGGTGAGAAAACAGTCTGCTTCTATTTTATGTGGTGTGTGTGCAATTATAGACATGGGCAAGGGGAGTAGGAGGCAAGAATGGATGGTGGTACCCACGGAGGAGTGGGGTTGAGAGTTAGTTGAGCCCTTTAGGAGAAGAAAAGCTGGAGTAAGTAAGACAGAGCAGCAGATGTGAACGCAGTGACTAATGGACTGTAGATGGATGCTTCAAAGTATTTTATTGGGTTTTACGTGACAGACCAACACAAAGTTCTGCAAAAATGGGAAGCAGAAGGTGAAGCCTCAAATCTTTCACAGGTTTGATTGTTCTGTATTTTAGCTCCATCCATCTTTCCCCACAACTATGACTGGCTTTGAGAAGCCTGATCCTCACAGTGTGATGTTGCCTCCATTGTTGTTTCATCTTGGAAGTTGTTGGGTATTTTTGCCACACAGAGTTTTGGAAAAGTTAGATTTTGTTCTCGTGATTTAAGTTCATTGATTGACTTCTGGATTTTGGTTTATGGAGTACAAAGTCATGCCACATTTCTTAAGATTTGTAAAATAAGAAGTTAAAACTGGATTATTTACATATCAAATCACAATTACGCTCCACTTTGAGTTGGGCTGACGGGTAAAATCCCATTAAAGTATCCTGAAGTTTGAAGTTGTAACTTGGCATCATGTGAAAAAGTTCAAGGGTCAAGAAATCCTTTGAGTCTCAACAGCAAAAACACAAAGTCCTACCAAGCATTTCTGAAAAGTTACTTGTAAGTTAGTTTTGTCTTATTTCAAGTTTAGTAAGATATTTGTACTAAAAATGAGACGTAAAATACTTGGTATGATTTTGTGTCTTTGCAGTGTCTTAGCTAGAACGTGCTCTGTTTAACTCTTTGGAGCTAGCTATCCTAAAACTCATTGGCAATAAACTGTATTTTGACAGTAAATGTGTCATAAAACACGTTGCTCTGCTCAGCAAACGTCTAGAAGCTGCTGATGTGACACATGTCTGCAGTACCAGGTGACTGAGGGAGGTCGGACATCATCAACCGATGAGTCTGCACGTCATTTCATGTGATGAGCTCAACTCTCTGTGACAGATTAACGTGATTTTACTGCTTCAGGCGAGTTCATGCAGAGACACACGGCCATGATGACGCAATGCTCACTGACAGCAGGGCAGCGTTTAAACACAATGATAATGTGATTAATCTTCAGCAATTGGAGGATTTTAATCTTGCTGTATCGCATTGTATCGTTTTGCAACCAGAAACTTCTAATATGTTTTTATTTGGATTTTATGTGGTAGACCCTGATACTCTCAAATGAAACCCAGAACAATATCCAGTTGGGTTTTATTTAGAGGGTATCAAAGTAAAAGGGGGTGTACTATAAATTTGCAGCATGCTTTTCAGGAATCCACTTTGTAATTATGCTCTACTTTGTATTAAATCTGAATTAAACACATGAAGGGTCGTGGCTTCAACTGTACACGATTCCCACCTTGTGTTTCTGTGACACTAAAATCCAGTTTTACTTTCCACCATAAATCATTTATGAATAGCAAAGTCCCCCGGCGTTACCTAGCCACAGAGGTGTTTGCAGAAACAAATATTCGGAGGTGTAATGCAAACACACGCTGGCTTTATAAGCTGAAGGCAGGAGTCTAGTTTCCCCCCCTCCCTCTTCTTCTTTTAGAGACGCACAGGCAGAGACTCGGCCGTCTCTGTGTTGTTGTTGTTTACAGAAGGAAACCCCTCATTACTGCCGACGTACACTCAACAACTTCCTGCTCGCTTCCTGTCTTCAGCTGGCGAGGATAATAAAGCGGCTCCATCCTTTACGGCCAGCTGCAGAGCTGGCAGGATCGGACGGCGGATAAAAATCCCTCGATGGCTCTCTGCTAACTTGCTCTGGTCCTGAACTGCAAAAAACACAAAATGTCAACAAGTACAAAAGTACCTTACAAGTCGCTTTTCAGCAAACTATGGGAGCTTATTTTAAGTAAATAATTCGTTGAATATTGATGGAAAAAGTACTAGTTATAAGTGGATTAATCTGCTGATGGAACAAGATAATTTAACTTATAACATTTGGAAAACTTATAACTAGTACTTTTTTAATCTTAAGGAATTATTGACTTAAAACAAGCTCCTAAGTCTTGCTGAAAAGTTACTTGTAGGTTAGTTTCGTCTTTTTTCTTGTGTACTGAGATATTTGCACTAAAAACTAGACCAAAACGTCGTGGTAAGATTGTGTTTTTGCAGTGTGGAACAAGGAGTTTCCAGTGCGACGTGGGCCGTTAGAGTTCAAGTAGGCAACAAAGAGAAAACATGGCCTGTTACAACGCCGGGGTCTCCATTTATTAAAGCAACATGCTGCTGCTGCATCTGGCGCTTCTCACTGAGCCTGAAACATCACAGCGCTGTAAAACTCTCCCTCGGCGACGTTACCGTCAGCCTGCTACACGGTCCGATTATTATGCTTTTAGAAATGTGACAGAGATTCCAGTCTGCATCGCTCTTTGTCTCGTCTTTCTTCCTCCAAATTTGTTAAGAATGTACAAACCCGACCCAAAGAGACCTCCTCCATGGAGTCCTCCAGGAGAGAGGGGCAAAGACACGGGGAGAGGCCTCCGAGACGGAAGATTAATTGCGTCTTCCAGTCGGAGCAGCACACAGAGGAGCTGAAGTGTTTTCTCTGTGAAGCGAACGGCTTTGTGGGCCAGTTGGCCCGAAGCAGAACAGCAAAACACAGGACTGTTGGCGTGGCGACACAGGAAAACTTCCCTACTAATTAGATCCCGCTCTGACTTATGGACGGAGAATAAAAGGGACAAATGGAAATCTGCTGAAGGCTTCTTGTGAGAGATATTTACAGAAACTACAGGTCAGGGTATCAGCAGCTGAGCTCAGGTGGATTATTAAGAAGCAATGCATGGTGGGCGACTCTGTTGGACTTTGCGGTCAAAGATTTCTGGAAGTGGAAGCTGGAGGCTGATCTGATTCTGGACAACCTCTGGCAGGTAGCTTGATTGATCCAAACTCTCAAGTGGGACATGAAAATATTTACACAGCTGGAAATAAGACCAGACTGACCGTTTAAACATGAAGCGAATGTTTAAACCAGATTCAGATGCAGCTGTAATTTGGCTATAATTATAATCTTCTTGCACTAAGTAGTTTTGGAGGACGAGAGCTGCCAAGCCATGACAGATTTTTTGAATCTGCATCGAAACTCTGTGGAAAAAGCAGGATAGTTACAAAGTTCTTGACAAGCCAAGTCCCTAATTTTGTGACCAAATTCCGATCTCTGATTTTTGTGGAGCTCGACCTGCAGATCTAGATTTCAGGGGAGATTTCAGAACAGCAATGAGAACATTTAACAAGACAAGTTGTAAATGAAAGTAAAACTGGCTTTTGCATCACATGTTAGCCTAGTTACGATGTTCTGAAAGCGTTGCTTTCTCTTGCAGCCGGAATAAAAAGTAGAAATAACAGCCTACGTGGTAGGAAACAAACCTCATAGCTTGTGATTTTGGTGACACACTTCTAAAGAAATGTATTTGCACCTCGAGCTGGAATTTGTAACTTCCGTGACCAACCTGAACGCACCATTCATCGATTTATTTTTGCGACTCTACCTCCTGTTTCAATTTTTTTTTCTTAATTCCAAGTAGAACTGTAACACAAGTATGTAAAAGAAGAAGAAGAAAAAACCCTAATGAATGCCAAAAAGGCCTTTGAAGTGTGTTCATGCTGAGCCAGTAAAGCAGTGAGCGATGGGGCCGTGAGGATATGAAGTGTGTTTCCTTTCTGCCGGCCGCTTCTGCCTGACGCACCGAGAACAAAGCCAAAAAAGGAATGAAACTGCTGCGGAGTGCCGCGAGCCTCGCCAGCTGCCAAACTATTCCTGTAAAAGCTCACTTTCTTTGGAGGCCTGAGGAGGAGAGCTTTGGGGAAACGTAAAGGAAAACGTACACAAAGAGGCAGACATGTTGAACCGATTGTGTTGCTTCTTTTGTTTTTTGTTGCGGTGGGTGAGAACCGTAAGGAGAGCACCAGGTGGGGACGAGCTGGAACGATCGGAATGGATGCTTGTGGATTAATGGGTATTTATTTGAGCCTATGAAGTCCACTCTGGAAGGAAGCGCATAACCAAAATGAAAAACCAAAATGGCTCGGAGAGACTAATCAGTCATGCTGCTGTTGGCAGCAGGACCTAAAAGAAGGCGGGTGGGAGGTACAGGAGGGGGGGGGCTGCACTGTCACAGATAGGAAAAAATAGTTTAAACACTCCACTGATTATCTGACATCTGGAAAAGATTTGGGCACGTGAACTTGGTGGACTCCAGACAACATGCGCGCGCCGGGATGTACAGTATTTTCTGAGCAGTGGGGAACTTCTCATTCTCACATGCAGCACACACTGCACAACACGCTGCACAACACGCTGCACAACACGCTGCACAACATGCTGCGCAAGATTTACAGCTTCTCGGGCTTTTCCTAGAGACCAGTGTCGTCTTCCTGATGCCTGCGGGAAGCGGCGCTTCAGGCCTGTGGTTGCTATAGTTTGTGAAGACTCAAAGAACCACATATTGCCCTCATTTACAAGTTTGGAATGTAATTTTGGGAGCCTGTTGGTGAGGATTTATATACATGCTGTGTGTTGCTGCTGTCTCTGGTATCAAACGTTTCTGAAATCCTCCTGTCTTTTTAAGGCATGTTCCTCGAAGGATTCTGTTTGGTTAGCCGACAGAAGCTCAAGTTATACAAATAATTATACAAATATAACATGTCGGAATGTAAATAGCTAAGAAAGTAAACCCTAAACCACAATGCCTTGCAAAATTATTCACATCTCATAAACTTTTCCACATATTGTTTACCTTAGAAGCGAAAGCTTCTATGTATTTTATTCCCCTAAGGTCCAGCTATGTGGCAGAGCTACAAAGTGTCTCAGAGAAAGTTTGCTCTAATATGAACATTTCGAAGGACTATGAATATTTCTGTGAGACATGAAGCTTATGAACCACTGCAGGATCAAAGGAATCCTTCATTTGTTGTGTTTTTAAAAGTTTATGGACTTCACATACATAAAAAAAGATATATACAACCACCCTGAAATGAAAAGGATCAAAACAACTTAACAACACTTGGTCTCTTTGAAACTTTACTAGTTCATGTAAAGTTTCGTGGAGGATAGAAATGTGGAGCAGATGACATCCGAGAAACTCCACCGTCTCTCCTCCACAATGACATCGCAGGACAGTCACCAAACTGGACAACCGCAGCTCTGAAAACCCCCAGACAAACAACATTTCATCATCTGGATTAATGACTCACATGTGTCACAGTTATGTTTTTCTTCTTTCAGCAAAACATCCAAGCAGGAGTCATACCAAACTGTGTTTCACAGAGTGGAAACGGGCCTCTGCAGCGCTTCTATTATCAGTTTTCTAGGCTGCAAGCCGGAGCCGAACAACAGCAGTCTGACTCCTGCAGCGCATTTAAAGTGCTGTCAACAGTCTGGCTCTTTGTTAACGGCTACAAGCTGATAAACTATCAGTCCCTGCTGCTCGTGCAGTTGTTTCCTCCCTAGAAGTCGGACATATTCCAGTTTGACCAAACCTGGTGCCTGACGCAGCCCAGGAAAAACAGTTCACTCTAGTCAGTGGTGAGAGAAACGTCAGAGACGTTTCTAAAGGTTAAACTCTGTCAGTAGTTCTCTCACTGACTGTAGCTGATGCACTGCAAAAGAAGAAAATACATCTTACTGAGCATTTGTGGTCTGTTTTCTAGTAGAAATAAGACAAGTGTATCGATTAGAACAAAAGAAGTGCTAGTTCCAGTGGATCTAGCACTTTTTCATCAGCATTAAAGAATTATTTACTTAAAACAAGCTCCTGTATCTTGCTGAAAACTGATTTGTAAGTTTCTTTTGTGTTATGATATTTGGTAAGACTTTGTGTTTTTGCAGTGTAGAAACTTGTTGTTGTCGTTGTGGAGAAACTGAAAACAGATGCTGGGTTTTGTAGCTTTTTTTCCCCTCAGCGTTGCCGTGTTACATCCGCCCTCCACCTGCTGTAAAGCGGTGAGGATTAAAGGAAGCTGGCCTGACTGAGTCTTCTTCTCCTCTTCCTCTCAGGAACGCGGCCCAGCTGAAGCAGCTGCAGGACCAGATTCTGTTGGAGCAGCAGGAGGCAGCCATCTGGCAGCAGCAGCAGCAGCAGCAGGAGCACATCCAGGAAGTCCCACCTCCACCCTTGCAACTGCTTCAGGAAGCACCTCCACCTGCTCCGCCTTCGCCGCCTCTCCCCCCGCCCCCCTCCTTCCAGGAGCTGGAGAGCAGCACCGCCATGCAGGCCAGTACCTTCAACTACGCCCGGCCCAAGCAGTTCATCGCTGCCCAGAGCCCGGGCGGGGCGACCTACGTCGCCCACTCCTCTGGCTCCTCTGGGTCCAGCCTGTCCTCCCCGCTGTCTCCACCCGCCTCCCACAAGCCCTTAAACCGGGTCGCCCTGCCTCCTTTCACGAAGGCCGGCAGCGTTGAGTCTCCGACCTCTCCGTCCTTCCCGCCTCCTCCTCCGCCCTTCCTCAGCCCCAGCAACCTGTCCTCTCCCTCCGGCCCCGGCCAGGACTTCCCCCCTCCTCCACCCCCGCCTCCTCCTGTTTCCATGTCTCCAGTCGGCTCAGATGTGTCATCGCCGTTCTCCTCGGTGCCCCCGTCTCCCGCCTCCAGCTTTCTGTCCTCGGTGCTGCCCTCCAGCCCCTCCACACCCGGCAGCCCCACCGTCAACAGCCTGGGCCTTCCCAAAGGCAACGGCACCATGTAAGTGTCCAAATGTCACACATTTGTTAAATGTTCAGCTGCTGCGGTTTTCTTTCACACTGCACTGTGACAAACGAACCAAACTTGTTGAAAACCTGTTCCCCTCCTCGCCTGTGGTGGCGCTGCATTAAGAACAACAGAAAGAAATGACACAAAACCTCTGAAGAAGACATGAGCTCAACTCCATTCTTGACAGAATGTAAACAAAAATGGTTGTAGGATTTCTGTTTTGTAATAATAATAATAATAATACATTTTATCTATAAAAAGCTTTTAAAGACAGTCAAAGACGCCGTACAGTAATACGATTAAAAACAGCAGCAGTAACATCAAGCAGTCGGGAAAACAAAAGACCACAATGCAGTTCTCCTGCTAACATGTTTGTTTTGGTTGTATTTACCCAGAATGCCCTGCAGTATAGTCTGCTTCCTGCTTTTGGAGCAGTCTCTGGTCCACTTGCGTTCACATTCGCATTCAAACCACACCAGAGTTCACTTCAACCAGACAGAGACCGACTTTCTGGACAAACGAACCAGAGCTGGATTAAAGCGGACTAAACAGGGGTGGTGTGAACGCACCTCTACACTCCACTGTCTGTTCAGAGTTATGCATTGTGTCAAGCGAGAGATTCGAGGCCCTTTCTACCCATCATGAGCCCATAACAGAGCCGGTTGGACGTAAACGTCCAGGCGGCAGGCGGGAGGCTTAGACGGATGAGAAACGACATGTTTACATTTTTATACGACATGTTTGAAAAAGAAAAACTAGATAAAGCAGCGAGAGAGAAAGTAAAGTTTACCAAAGGTGTAACGGCAAGAAAATAAACCCTCTGACCTGAGAGGGAAAGATGAGTCCAAGTCAAACAAATGCTCACACATGCCATTAATTTGATAAAGTCATTTATGCAACCAGAGGAAAGTTCAATTTAGTTTTTTTTTTTTTTTTTCACACGTCAGACGTGGAATAATAAATGAAGTGCTTCAGCTTGGGAGTCCAGAAGCCTTAGAATGGCTTTGTGGCCTTTTTCTAGACACGTATATTAAAAGGATTTTGTTTTTTATTTATTCTTGAATTTCTTCAGATCAGGCCGTGGTTTATGTATCTTTTACATGTTGTCAGACAGATTCTACTTAAAGATGTTCTCCCACCTCTTAACACAAGTAAATGAAAGAACAAACATATCTGATAAAATGTGCTTTTTATTTTTTTACTGGAAGTTTGTTTTGCTGATAGAGGATAAAACATTGTTACCCTGAAACCAGGTGTCTATCTACACCAGCTCATTCTCCAGAATTTGAATTGATTTTGTTTTTCTAGTGCGATCAGCAAACAATTTATAAAATATTTAATATTTATCATCATGCTTTTGCAGAGCTAATTTGCCCTTACACTGCAAGGCAACCAGACCCACAGCAGTGTTTGGCCAAGCTTCCTGGACGGGACACCAGGAGAAAATCTAAATAGAAGAACATTTCTTTTCATTCCAAATTAAAAACATGGAACAAGAAAATGAGACGGTGCTGCTCAAAGTTTGAAATTTAGCGCAGTTTTAAGAAATGAAGTGGTGTGTGTGATTAATCTGTAGACGGAGGATGGAAACTCCCTGATGAGTGTTTCATCTCCCCTCACTGTCCTCCGCAGGGCTGCCTCGTGTTCACATCCACGTATGATCCATCACTTTTATGTTTTCATGTTAAAATCCCACACTCGGCCCCGTTGATACTTTCATTTTGCTCTTGGCTGATAACAATCTGCAGGTCCTTCCTCTCTCCTAACGAGAGGGGAAAGTTTTCCCATTCCACCTTCATCTCTCCGCCGGTTATTTTTCATCAGCCCCTCACTCACTGCTGCACTCCCTCTCTCACCCTGGCATTCCTGCTGCATTCATAGAGAGATAAGAAGATACAGAGAGGAATGCAATAGCTGGACATGTCCAGATAAGGCCTAAAGAGAGACAGAGAGAGTTCTGGTAACGATGCAACAGGAGGAAGAAGATTTGAGATTGTAGGAGCGTGTGTGCAAAGAAGCACGACTTTAATGATGAGGTTTTTTATTTTATTTTTATCTTTCTTTCAGCAAAGTGTTTCCGAGGAAGTCGTCAGTCACCAAGACGCCTCGCGTCGTCTCCGACTCCGACATCCAGGGCTCCAAGGATGCCGTCATCCAGGATCTGGAGAGAAAGCTGCGCTTTAAAGAGGAGCGCATGAGCAACAGTCAACAGGTGTGTTTTCATCCGTGTGTGTGTGTGTGAGGTCCTGTCAGCGAGTGTGATCACCTTTTAACATGGATTAACACACGCTAAGAAGAACAAAAAAAGCAAATTAAAAGATTGCAGTTCCATGAAAGTGATACTCATTCAGCTTCGGTTGGATTTACCTTTGAATGAATGTGAGACGTTTTAGCAGCGGGCCTGAACTGCCACCCGACCCGACGGCGTGTGAACGTGTTTTTGTGCGACTGACCCCACTAACCCGCGCTGACCTCATTAATCCCTGATTGCAGAGGTTAACCTATGAGGAGAAGATGGCCCGTAGGCTCCTGGGGGCCGACAACGCTGCCACAGTCCTGAACACACAGGACACAGAAGAGGAGCCGATCACACAGGTACGGGGGCCCTTCACACGGGGGACCGACACCGCTGGGGCCAGATGCTGGAATTATTATTATTATTATTATTATTATTATTATTATTATTATTATTCACAGTCATCACAGGTGGATGGATGGAGAATTTTTATTCTCTATAATTAGGGAGCGTCAGGGTTCATACAACACCCTGGAGTCCTGATCAAGGTTTCTGCATGAAGTCCTTAAAAGTCTTTACATTCAAACTGCACTGTTTGTAATAAAGTCCAATCCAAAATTTGATTAAAAGACGAAATTTGGAGAAAAACAATTTACAGCTGAAACCAGATATTTTCTACAAAAGACTCTTTTTTCCCCTCACTGTCTGAAGTTAAATCAGACTAAACATGTCAGTAAGAATCACCAAGATTATTTATATTTGCTAAATGCAACAACATTTGGTGAGAACATTTTATAGAAATGTATTTTTAACTTTCTTTGTTTATTGTGTTTGAGGTAATTTACCTCAACAAGATTTGTTTAAATTGTGTTAATGTCATAAATATTTATCATTCCTAATGACCCGATGACTTATTGACTCATTTAGTTGAAATAAACATTCACTCATGTTTGGCGTTGGATATTTTACAGCAACATGGTTGAAATTGGGGGATTTTTTTGTGTGAAATTATTAGTGTGTTGTTCTCGGAGCAGTCGAGTGTATAAAGAATGTGCAAAAGAGACATTTCAAAACAAATCTGGTTTCTGCTGTAGAATACGATCACAAGATATAATTAATAACAGTAATAAATGATAACATATTACAGTGATTGGAAAATGTATTTTGTAGTTAATTTGTATTGTCTTTATCTCCAAACTTTTCTTAAAAATGCCTGAAGTTTACAGTGGGAACTGTGTACGAACCCTGAATCCATAAATCCCCTTAGACCTTTTTTTCACTTTATTACATTACAAACCACAAATCTTTATGTATCCAATTTTGATTTCATGTAATCAGAAACCAAACGTGTGATGCACATCCGGATTCAGCCGCCTTTTAGTTTAAACATTTCACGAAGCACATCTTCCACATTAAAGCCGTTTCTACCAAGTATTGGCTCAGGGGAGCTGAATTCGGTTACATGCCGCACTTTTCAGATTTTCTGAAAAAACCAACACGTCGTTTCTCTTCCACTTCACCATTATGCACAACATTAGTTGGTCCATCACACAACACTCCAACACGACGCAGCGGAGTTTGTGTTTGTAACGTGACGAGATGCGGAAAGTTGGAGGGATGAAATGAAACATCAGAGAGAAAAAAATCAAACAAGCTTTGAGTGTCTGTTTATGAAATCCTTGCAGTCAGTAATATATCTGAACGTCAACAAACTCTAAATAATGTTTTGGAACACATGGTTGCAATATATGAAATCAAAAGGGAAATATTGCAAACGTCCGGCTGTGAGTAAGTCTCTGTTGCGTGTCGACATTGTTTCTGCATCTGGCCCCAGCAGGGGAGCATCACACAGGCATGGAAACGTTTCACCAACACGTCCTCACTGGAGCGGGTTGTTTCTCCACCACCCCCCCCTTCCTTCATTCTGCTGCATGTTCACCTTTTGACACGAAAACTTTCTCTGATGACCCTTCTATCTCCCGATCGCCCGTCGGCCCCGCCCTGAGCCGGTGAGGAGCAGCGGCGGTCCCGCCGGCCCGCCATAAAAAGCTCTGTTTATCCAACCCTCTGTTGTTCCACGGCAACATACAGCTAGCGCTAATGTGGCTGTTTGTCTTACTCAGAGCCAACGAGCCAGTTCTGTTGAAGTGAGCAAAAATAGCAACAGTTCCTGGAGCCGGTTGTGTATTTCAAAGATGAGCCGTCCGTTTCCAATTATGTCAACCGAGAAAAAGGCTAAATTTGAAACAACGTGAAGGTACAGCCGCTAAACGCGGCAGTGAACACAGAGGGTTGACAGGTCACTTCTAAACACACCAAGCTGTTCCACGTTTCCATTTCTTTGTGACTCTTTGCATGGAGAGCTGGAGTGGTTGGAGCACAGGGAGCACTTGTTTCCCCTCACTGTGTGACGCTCAGAGCCAAACACACTCAAACAAAACGTGTGTTTTCTCCCAACAGGAAGACAAGTCAGCTGATGCAGAAACTTACCCTCAAAAGGTTCATTTCAACCTTCTCTTTGCTGACGCACTGTTTCTCTTTTTTAATTATTATCCACACCGTTTTTAGATCTGCAAATTGAAATCACACTGATGTGTTTTTAGAAGTTAGAAAACCAGACATGTGAATCCTGTCCCTGGTTTCTACAAGCATAAAAACGTCTCGGTGCCTTACTGCAGTATTAATATCCATTACAACCACACACCTTAATGTGTTTTACTGGGTTTTTGCACAATGGACCAACACAAAGTTGCACATTTATGTCCAATCCTCCCTGATGCCTCCGAATGAAACCTTCAGAAGTCACCTAGTTATCTGAACCACTAGCAAATAAATGAAGCAGACATGGAAGAAACAAAAAAAGGAACTTTGTGCAGCGTTTTAAGCTGAACACTCTACGTCCTCTGTGAAACATGGTCACGGCAGTATCATGCTGTGGGGAGGCATTTCTAGAAGAAAACCTGTTAGAATCTGCACAAGACTTTAGGATAGGATGGAGGTTTGTACACTAGAAAAATGGTTTATGTCAAAGATCAGTCTTATATTAGAATGGCCCAGTCAAAGTCCAGACCTAAATGTATCTGACAAAACCTGAATGTTTGCGTCAAGAGGTTCTCCATCCAATAAGACAGAGCTTAAATTTGCCTGACATCTTGAAAGGTCTAATTTGTCAGAAACATGTTTTAAAAACCATAAATCCTTTTCCTTCTAGTTTATCATTATGCAGCATTTTGTGTTGCTTCATCAAATCAAATCCCAATAAAACGCATTAAAGTTTGTGGTTGTGACAAAAAGTGAGGAAGACTTTTGTTACGCGCTGTTCAGTGTGTTGTGTTGCTAAATCGTCACGTCTCACAGTGACGCACGTCGTTTTACGTGTTGTTCACGTCTTAAGCAGCGAACAGCCCCGTTTTTCAGTCCGGTCCTCACAGAATCGAGCTCCTCTCGGTGTGATCTCGGGTCGGCACCGGCCTGCTCTCTGCGCCGGCTCAGGAGGATTAGCGCCGGCTCTGCAGCTGCGCCCGAGGCCTGTCATTATCTGCGGGATGTGTCATCACGCTGAGCTGCTCTGCAGATGTTCCTCCGCGGAGCGATGAGGGATTGATGGGGATGGTTGTATAGGGGGAGTGGCTCATCTGGGGGGGAAAGGACTGGGAAGCTGAGGGGAAGAGTTCGGCTCGATTGGGTGACGATGAAAACGAGTTAATGAACCTCGGTGCTCTGTCTCTGCACGCTTCTCAGATTCTCTCTGGTCTAGACATCTCCTGACTCGCCCCATGTGTCTTGTGTTCAGGAGTACAAAGTGTCCAGCTTCGAGCAGCGCCTCATCAGTGAGATCGAATATCGCCTGGAGCGTTCTCCGATGGAGGAGTCGGATGACGACGTCCAGCACGATGAGGACTCCGCCGGCCAGGGGGTGGCGCCCTCCTTTGACCAGAAGCTGAAACACTACAAGGTGTTCGAGGGCATGCCGGTCACTTTTTCCTGCAAGGTCCACGGAGACCCCAAACCAAAGGTGCCCACCACTGATTCACACGGTTTCATGGGATCACACTTTTTCCTTTCACACGACTTTCCAGCAGTACACTTGGATGCAGCATTCTGTATCCACAATCTTCAGAGATTATGTTTTAGTGACCTACCTACAGGAATGTCCTTAAAAAACAAGCCATCGTCCTCCTACCACTTCCTGTCGCCTTCTTTGTAGTTTTTGTCAGTAGTAACATCCGGTTGTTGATCATGTGACTCTTGTGATGCGAAAAATGGTTTTTCTATTGCAGTTTTGCGAAATCCACATCACATAGTGCTAAAAGCTTTTATCAAAAAACATGAGGTGTTTTTTTTAATTGCCGTGTTTCCATTAAGTGAATCTATTTTCATAAATCCAATTTGTGCAATTTTATGGTCAGTATTTCAGTCTGCAGTGTTTCACATGATTATGTGCAGGTGATGACACTTATTTAGTAAATTATTGGGGGTTTTTTGTCTTGTGAAACTCATTTTCTGAGCTGCTGAATTTTGAATTTTTGCTAACTGTGGTCCATAATCCTCAAAGGATGTGTAATAAACGCACACAGAAGTTTCTGAATTACAGAAATAAGTTAGGTTTTGATAATAGTCTAACTTCTTAAGAAGAACCCGGTGTCTATGAATTATGCCTGAGTTATTTCTGAAGATGAAAGGGGCCGATGAGCAACCAGCTGTAATAAGACACAAGGATATTGTTAGAACATCTGAAAACCTGGTGCTACTTTTAAAATATGACGTTCACCGAAAATCACAGTATAACAACAAATCTTGAGTGTTGAGTTTTTGCATCCTTTCCTTGCAGGTATATTGGTTTAAAGACGGCAAGCAGATCTCCAAGAGGAGCGAACACTACCGGATCAGCCGGGATCCAGACGGTACCTGCTCGCTGCACACGGCGGCAGCCTCGCTGGACGACGACGGAAATTACACCATCCTGGCAGCAAACCCAGACGTAAGTCAGAAAAAAAAAAAGAAACATTTATCTGGGAGGCTGCAGATAACGCCCTGCTGGCCTGAACAGGAAGAAGGCGTTGAATGAAGCAGGAACTCACTAACACCCTCAGAGGGGTGAAAGGTTCATGTAGGACAGGCTGTAGGGCAGCGCTCTCCTGCTTTATCAGACACATCTAATTTCCTCCTGTTTTGTCTGACTGCCAGTCCTGGGTTCAGACTCCAGCTCTCTGTCCTCCCACTGCAGGGCCGGGTGAGCTGCACCGGCAGGATGATGGTCCAGGCGGTGAACCAGCGCGGCCGCAGCCCACGGATGGCTCCAGGTCACATGCGCAGGTGAGGATCCACCGCCAGGCTGCTTGTTTTTTCTCTTCTACTAAAGGGGGAAGGGGAGAATTAGTGGCTTTTGTTTAATCAGCTGTTGACTCGACTAATCTGTTTCATTTTAAAAGTCAAGTGCAACCAATCAAGATCAAAACCACAATCGATGGAAATAAAGGGCGGTGTAAACGTTTGAGAAAATAACAGACAAATGTACAACTATACATGATATTTGAACATTTTCTCAATTATTTATCTCTGCAAAAGACTTGTGGGTGGACACGTGGGTAAGAAGTGGAAGTAGAAAGGACAAAAATGTGAAAACTTACAGATATGTCGGTAAATTTGGCGTTCACTGAAATATATTGCAAAAGACACAATCCAGAACTGCATTCTGGGAGTTGTAGGCAGAATAAAGGCTTTAGCCACTCAATCTTTAGAGGCTAGCTAAGCAAGGGAGGTAGCGTCAACTCACTCAGGCTTTGGTTACCTAGCAACAACCTGTTGGGTCACTAGTGCAGCAGCAGTTTCATGTTTCACCACTCTTCCTCAAAACTACTTAAAAATAAAAAAAACAAAAGAAATGAGATCTGGATGCAGCAGGAAAGGTCACCAGTTTGGCAGTATTTCCGATATTTAAAAGAAATAAACTAACCAATGTAACTATCGACGGAAACGCTTCTATTGTGATACGTTTTTCAGCCATTCGGTTCCAACGTTCAAAAGGGCAAACAAAACAAAACCTGTACTTTTTTTTTTTTTAAGTAACAACATGTACATCCAGCTGCTGGCTGGCACGCCTGCAGCTGCAGCCCCTCACATTTCATCTCTGCACAGATTGAGGCCAGAAAAGCTTCCAGGAGACTCATATTTACACAAGTGTTTGCCATGAACTGAAATCACACTCTGTTCTTTGTTTAACTGTTCATTCAAAGAAAATCAGAGTGTTAATGAGAGGGAACACATGTTTGTTCTGACCTTGTATACACCGTGTGTACTCATGCAAGGCTGGATAGTAAAAGATGATCACAGAGGCTGCGGACATAAAAACCACCTGTGAGCTGTTATCACCATGGACACGCCCCGATTAGATAACAGCGCCACCTTGTTTTGGGTGAGGAGAGAGATCGAGATAACAATCGGTGCCTGAATGGCCGTTTTTTTTTTTTTTTCCATTTAGTTGTTTTGAGTTTTTCTTTTATGTACAGCCCTGCTTCAGGTGCAGGTGGGTCGGTGAGGTCACAGAGGATTCAGAGGAACACCTGTGGGTGCAGAGATCACAAACAGGAAGAGGGTTGGTGTCAGATCTGACAGGGGAGGAGAGCGCACATAGCTTTATTAAAGTAATTGTTCTGGTTTGACGGAGTTTTTCCTTTCAGAAGTCAAACATTTTCAATTTAAGAGCAAATTTCCTACAAAATTTCTACAAAATTCACGTCTCACTGTAAAAAATATTGTTTGCTAACAAAATGTTTTGTTTCCCCTTTAAGCTGGTTCTGTGGTGAACATTTACACAGATATTTTCTGCTTCTTGCTTAATCCTGTTTTACTTAAACCTCTAAGTAACTCCCTTGTTTTAAGAGGGCAGAGAAAATTATTTAGCAGGAAGAAAAAAAACCCTAATCAAAAGCACAGATTTCATCCACTTCAAGAGCAAGCCGTTTAACTGGAAGAACAAATTTGTAAGGAAGATTTTAAGTTTTGAGCAGGACAGATTTTAAAAAAAATCATACACTCCATCAATTCCCCCCAGATGTAGAGCTTAAAGAGTTTTCTCTGTAAGTTTATAATTCATTAGGTAAAAACTTTGTTCTTCAATTAAATAGGGCTGAAACAATTAAAGGGAGTAATTGTGATTAATCGATTATTGAATTAAACGTCAACCAATTTAGCAATCAGTTAATCTGTAGTGTGCAGCCTGAAGAGAAGGACATTTGCTGCAAGAACAACATATTCAGAGCAGTAATTAAAATAAAACTCTACAAAAAAGATCTCTATTTTGCATTTAAGATAAGAAAAACTCTTTCTCTGTAAATATGTTCTACTTAGAACTTCTCAAGTCACATAGTTTTAACTTCCCCTGGTTGAAACTGCAGAAAATCTAAATAATCTCCCAATATTTATATAATTGCTGTCCAATTATTATCATGTTTAACAAACAACTATCCAACAGATCAATCTTGAACTGTACTGATGTTAAGTTGAGCAGAAGAGGTTGAGCTTTTCATATGTTGTTAAAAATATTTAATTTGCAACAGTTGATAAATAAAATAAGCTTTACAGGTTAAATTAAAAGGGGCAGAATGTGCCGATTTCTTATATTTTATTAATCAACTAATTGTCAAAATAATCAATTACTAAAATGATAAATGAACTTTAGAACTTCTACTCCTGAACTCAATCCAATGCAAAAAAAGCTTGAGTAGCTTAGTTTGATGTTTACTCCCTAGCAGAGCATCGTTTATTAACATCAGGAAAATCTGTGCTCTGCTGCAGTTTGCGTCTCTGTTCAGTTCAAAAGTTGGTGCCACTCTCTTGGGTTTAAACCGCCCGCCCAAAAATAACTTCACTCCCTCATCCGTACTCACTGCTGTCCTCTGCGTCACCCCCAGGCCCCGATCACGGTCCAGAGACAGCGGTGACGAGAACGACAACATCCAAGAGCGTCACTTCCGCCCTCACTTCCTGCAGGCGCCTGGTGACCTCATCGTCCAGGAGGGCCGCCTGTGCCGGATGGACTGCAAGGTGAGGACACACCCCTGGCTCTAGCGGCCCCAGCCTGGAGGAAAGAAGGTCAGAGCAGTTCGTTGCTGCTGCTGCTTCATCCAATCAGCTCCTGATAGAAACCATCTGGCCCATCAATTGGTCAATGCATTTCTTTTCAGTTTTGTTGTAGACGCCCCTCACACCACCATGCTGATCTATTCTTATGTCATTTTAATTCAGTCCTTTGTTACCTGGCAACGTGTAGAAATACAATAAAGAAACAGGGATCATTTATTTAACCTCCTGTGATTTAAAAATAAAAAGTCTCCATCTGCATCGACCACCTGCGCAGGATGGGCCACAAAAGGCCCCCGGACCGCACTTTGAACACCCCTGTTCTATATTAAAATGAAGCGCACAGGATCCTCTAAAATAACAGAGAATGACTGGGGAAGAAAAAAAACCCCAACTCCAAACCAACTGGAATATGATAATCATAGTAATACAGAAAGCGTTTTCAGATCCACCCTTTAATTCAATGTCTGGATGGCTCAGAGGGAGGCTCCATGTCAGCGCTGCCAAAAAAACATTTCCACACTTTTTCCTTCATTTACTTGATTTAGTCTGTACGAAACAAGGAAAACTGGCTCAAAGGAGACATTTGCTTTCTTATGAATGTCTCACCATAAATGGAGAGAATGCAAAGATGGAAGCCCTGAAGGACCGAGTCCAATTTCTGCTCGCAATTTTCCCTGCTCTTTTACCTCCTTGCAACATTTACAAACTACTTAAAGCTGCTTCATGTAATAAAATAAAACAGACCCACAATTAACTCGCTATAAAAAGACGGTCTTTTTATGCCTGTAAAAAAAAACTGCTTTCCATTTTTTCTTGGTCTGTGTATTTACAGCGAAGATTTATCTCCAAGTCCGGTGCGGGGAAAAAAAAAAGACCAGGCGGACTTCCGGACCCATCCGAAGGAGTTTACACGGCTAAAACTAAATCTTACCAAGAGCTTTGGGTCTCAGTTCCAGTGTTAATATCTTATCACACTTGAAATCAGGCAAAACTAAATTGCAATTAACTTTTCAGCCAAGTATAGCAGCTTGTTTTAAGTTAATGATTCCTCAAGATTGATTAAAAAGGACATAGTTTTAGTGGTAGATCTTAGTTCACGTTAGGTAAGCCTTGGCTTAACTTTTTTTTTTTTTTTTTTTTTTCAAATTAAGGGTTTGTAAAGTGGTTTTTTGCTTTTATTCTTCGTGTAATGTTAATTTACCAAAATAAAATGAAACTCAACTGAAAAATGTCTCATTATAAGTGATATAATCTCCCTGTGGAACCGGTATTTTTCCATCAATATAAAGGAATTATTTACTTAGAACAAGCTCCAACATCTTGGTGAGAAGTTACTTTTAAGTTGGTTTTGTCTTACTTTGAGAGTACTGAGATATTTGCTCTCAAAACTAAATTTAAAAAATTCTTGGGAAGATTTTCCTTTTGCAGTGTAGTCCACATCCCTTTGTGATTTCCACCAACTCCTCTGCTGACCTGGAATTTCAGCGGAGGCGTTTGGGAACGGTGAATGTTCCAGGTGGGCCAGGGTGCAGCCAGGTGTTGGGTTTCTCACCCAGATTTAGTCCTTTGTGTGGCTTGTTCCCATGACGAAGCATGCAGGCGACCGGGCTCTGTCAGATAAACACAACAGAGATAAACCAAACACTGCTGTCTTCGTCGTCCCTATAAACACACAGAGAACGAATGCGGCTGACGCACTCCGTTCTCCAAGGAAAACAAGCAAAAGAATGCAGGCCTTGAAATTCTCTTCCACACATTCACCGCGGTACGACAGCTTTTTAACGCTTCCTTCCACCCGCAGGTGAGTGGCCTGCCGACCCCCGACCTCATCTGGCAGCTGAACGGACACACCATCCGTCCCGACTCGTCCCACAAGATGCTGGTGAGGGAGAACGGGGTGCACTCTCTGGTCATCGAGCCGGTGACCAGCCGCGACGCTGGCATTTACACCTGCATCGCCAGCAACCGGGCCGGCCAGAACTCCTTCAACCTGGAGCTCATCGTTGCGGGTGAGTTTAGAATGCCGCGCGGGCGATGGTCGCAGGGCGTGGTTTTACCGTCGCCTTGGTAACGACGACTCTCTTGACAGCTAAAGAGATGCACAAGGCGCCCTCGTTTGTGGAGAAGCTGCAGAACACGAGCGTGGCGGAGGGCCACCCCGTGCGGCTGGAGTGCCGCGTCACGGGCGTTCCTCACCCGCAGATCTTCTGGAAGAGGGAGAACGAGTCCTTCACTCACAACACAGACAGAATCAGGTACCGGTCTGCAGTTCTTGCTTTGTGAGAACGATTCGTCTTCGCAACGTTTTCCACATTTTGTCACATGACAGCCACTGAGTGTGATGTGTTTTAGTTGGATTTTATATGGGATTTATTATGATGGACAGAAATGGAAGGAGGAGGAAATATGCTACCCTGTTTTTGCCATGGGAGCCTGAAACGTTTGCTTTGGACTTTTCAGAACCACATTTACAATTACAGCTATGTGTCTGTTAGGGAACGCATCGTCCAGCTTTGCAGATGGAGATTAAAAATTATGCACATTTTCTGCAAAACATACCCAAGTCAGATTTGATGGAGATCATCCATCTGGGCAAGTTTTCTTAAATTAAGGTCTGGACTTTGACTGGGCCATTCCAACCGTTTTCAGTGTAAAAGAGGCCGAATACAAATGTGTGCAACACTTTGGATTTTTATCAAGTTTGAAAATGTTTTGGATGGTTCATTGCATTAAATCCCAGTAAAATGTCTGCGGTTTGAGGGTTAGAAGTAAATTTGTATCAGTAACACTGATGCTCCTTCCCAGCATGCACCAGGACAACTGCGGCTACCTATGCATGATAATCCAGCCAGCTCTGAAGGAAGACGCCGGGTGGTACACTGTGTCGGCCAAGAACGACGCCGGCATCGTTTCCAGCACCGCACGCCTCGACGTTCACAGTAGGACCAAACCGCCTGCAGAGTTGCACGTTTCCTCCCACACACTTTGCCGCTGGTTTCTCTGACTCTCCGTTTCCCCCTCCTCAGCTCAGTGGCAGCAGCCGAACCTCCCGAAGCCCAAGAAGGTCCGGCCCTCAGCCAGCCGCTACGCCGCGCTGACGGAGAGGGGGCTGGACGTGAAGGCGGCCTTCTTTCCCGACTCCAGCCCGCTCCCGCCCGGCGGTCTGGTGGAAAGCGACGACCTGTAAATGCGCAGAGATTTTTGACTCCAACCCCCTCCCACCCGTGAAGGCTGCCCTCGACCCCCCCAAACACTCCTGAGACATAAACAGAGAGGCAGGGGGCAGACTGAACTCTAGTCCACCACCGAACTGCAGAGAGGGGGCGGGTGCAGCTTTGGTTTCCTTCTTATAAACCCTTTATAGTAAAGAAATTAAGGTGACTTGGAAGGTGATTGAAGTGCTTATGATGAGAGAAGAGAGTTAAAGTGCCTCTTAAAGTGCAACACAGATTCACTACGCATGCACACGTCCGATACCTGCAGTAATGGATCTGAGTGGCCAGAATGTAAAGGGACAGGAAGAGGTGAACTCTTCCATGCTGAATGTTGAAGGTGTGGAATGACGAAGGTTTGAGGTTAAGGTGAGGAGGATGTACGTGGAAGAGCAGGTGTACAGTGGGATGAGAGTAAAACGCTTTAAAGATGGTTCATTTAGTCGATTTTCCTCCACTTTGGAGGTTCATCTTTCCTAGCCGTGTGGAATGTAATGTTCTGACTCATGACAGGTTTCAGTGTAGCTCTCCTGCGCAGCACAGATCACATTATTTTATTCTATTTACCTTCCCAACCAGCCTATCTTAAATTATACCTTCAAAAAAAATTAAGTTTTATAAACGTACTGCCTTAAATCACTTCCATTAAACACCTTTTCTTTGCATGTTCTTTTCAGACACCTGTATAGTGCCAAACAGCTTTTACATGGATGTATAAAACACAACTTCTTGCAGTATTCAGGGGTAATAAACACTCAAAATAATAAAAAAAGGAAATTAAAATATATTTATATCTATCATTTTGTCTCTGTTTAGACGTCTCTCTTGTATTAGCTGACATTAAAGTGCTGGCACCTTTCTACGCCAATCAGTGCCTGTATACAGACTGTTCTCCTGATCTCATTTTAGCTCATGAACTGTAATAAAATTCCACATCTGAAGAAAGTGAAATGTTTTTATAAACCGGCGGTCCTCATTATCGAAATATTTTTAGAAGGTCCATTTCGTAGGCTGTGTAAAAGCTAAAATTAGCTAAAATGATGTCAATATGTGGGCTATAACTAGCAAGTTGGCTAAAACTAAACTGCTAAACGGATTGGGTCAACGATAATCAACATGGTACATGTAGCCCAAGTGCTATTGATAGCATTTGAGCTAATTCTGGTCATTTTCATGCAACAAACAGAAACTATCTGCTGTTTTAAGCTGTTTAGGCTTCGACACAAACCTGGAACCTGCATAACCGCTCAGCATCGCAACCCGATTTGGGTCCGACCGATACGCACACTTTAGCAGGTCCCTCCTAAATTTCTTCAACGTCAGACATAATAAGCACAATGAAGACCAAGGGACAAAGCAAACAACTGTCTTTGAAAAGTATAAAATACAAAAGGGTTGTACGTTTTGCATTGAACTGCAAACATTGAGAGCAGGAGGACAAAAACAACTAAAGTTGCCCATTCATTCGACTTTTTAAACAATTCTTTTTAATGGTAGAGATGAACCTAGCATCTTCTTACTACTGGACATGACGGTCACCTCCGTCGTCCCTGCAGGTCCGAAGTTGTAACCAAACACAGAAAACATTCCCCGATCTAAAAATACCACCCCCACCTCTAATTTCCTCCAGCTGCAGCCCAAAGGGCCTCGTTCCCGGACAGGCCCCCACCAGAGGTGGGATCAGGAGGGCGATGGTGTTGGTGGGGGACCCAGGGGGTAACGTGCTGGGGGAATCTCCCGAGGGAGGTGGGGAAAAACAAAACATGAGCGCTGGAACCAGCAGAGAGCGTTTGACAGTCATGGAAAATGAGCTGCAGCGTTAAATCTGGTGTTTAAATTTAGGACCCCGGGGCACAGAGGTCTGGACAGGGCCAGACACTTTGGAGTCAGCAGCGTTAGTCATAACACACACACACACACACACACACACACACAATGCGGCTCAGTGACTCAGCAGGACAGCTCTCTGAAGGCAGATGAGGGATTTCATCTTCTAACTCGGCCTCATCTCCGTCCATACTAGCATAAAGCCGTCGCTCATCATTAGCATCCTCGCTTAAACAAGACATCCAGAACTGAACGGCTTTCCTTCCTTCTGCACCAGTGATGTCACTCCCTACATGGCCAGCTGCAGTCCCCCGTCCACCACCAGCACCTGTCCTGTAACGTACGAAGAGTCCAACAGGAAGAGGACGGCAGTGGCTGCCTCCTCTGGCGTGCCAAACCTCCCCAGTGGGATGGCTCGAGCTCTGGCCTCCTCCTGGAGCCCCGCGGTCATGTCAGTGTGGATGAAGCCTAAAACAGAGAGAGGAAAGAGTTGACTGAAAACAGAAAAAGAAAGGTGGTGACGTATGAAGACTGCGTGCCCACGCCGTACCTGGAGCTAACAGGTTAACCCGGATGTTGCGTGAAGCCACTTCTTTGGCTAGCGAGCGAGTGAATCCTTCTAAACCAGCTTTACTGGCGCCGTACGCACACTGGCCGGAGTTTCCCTTCAGGCCCACCACAGAGCCTGAAAACACGGCTCCGTTAAGGCAACCTGGTATGATGGGAACGCGTGCAAACACTGCTGCTTGTTCCACAAACGATTCAAATCAAATTACTTCAGTGATCTCTTAACATGTTCCTTTAAAAGAAAAATGTAATTAAGGGAATTTTAGAGGTTAAAACTTGAGGTTTTCTTGGGAATTACCCCGTCTGAACTCAGTAAACTCGTAAAATAATTTACAATATAAATTAAAAAAAAAAAAAAAGAAGAAAAAAAAAATCCAATTTAATGCTATTCTATGAATTCCATCTATGAGGTAAACAATGTGACTCTGCTGCCTCCTGGTGTCTAAACTGCTAACCTACAGCTAATGCAGAAGCTCTGAAGCAGACCTATGTTAACGATGGCAGCCCCCGGGGTCCGCAGCATGCTGCGCAGTGCGGCCCTGCAGGTCAGCATGGGGCCCAGCAGGTTGGTGTGGAGCACCGCCACCATGTCTTCAGGCTTCGTCCTCAGTAGCAGAGCATCCCTGATGACAGGATCATAAATATTCATACAGCGCCCCGCACAGTCACTACCGTCCTGAAGCTTAAAAATCTTTTACATAAATTAATCTTCTTGGGTGTGCCTTAATCTAATGCTGAATAAAATATATATTTGGTACTTTGTATAACCACCATTGTGTAACAATACAGTAAGTTTTCCAGTAACATTTAGCAAACAGAGACAGATATTTTTATCCTCTAAATAATTTTCTCAGAAGCGCTGCACTCTTTAACAGAACTCAGATTTTCTAAAAGATTCAAATCCGGGTCCCAATATTTTAATAATAATAACGATAACTTTATTTATAAACTGATTCCAAACAAAGTACTTAACATTTACAAGGAGTTAAACAAAAAATCCCTACAATAAAACAAAACAGTTTAAAGACATAAAACACCACAATAGCTATAAAACATCTTGTTTCTGGTGAAGCACTTCTGTGTTCATTTGGTCTTTTTTATTATTATTAACATGTTGATAGTTAATGGAAACCAGGACCACAGCACCACTGTTCCTCCACCGTGCTCATCTGGGGCGTCAGCGGCTTTTTCACATTCCCCTCCTGTGTTTCACACTAAACACACTTGGAGTTTTTGCAGCCAAAAAGTTTAACATTAGCTAAGCCTGGCTAAATCTAAAATAACTTAAGCATAAATTAAGAAATACTTAAGTTATATTTATTTTACTGGAATTTTTGTTCTCCAAAATGTACTGACATTAAAAGTTGGATTATTATTTAAAAACAAAACAACAACAACAACAACAAAAAACAGTGTGAATATGCTACAATAAAAATACATTTCTCTTAAGGTTTTCAGCACATCAGTTATCAAGTTGGGTCTACAGACCAGAATATATTAATACTTCTAGAAGTGCAGCTGAGATTTCTACTCTGCTGCCCACCTGTTGATTCCAGCAGCGTTCACTAGGTAAGCCATGTCTCCACAGGTCTTCTGGATAGTTTCAAAGGTTTCCTGCACCTGTTCCTCCTTAGAGACGTCACAGCTGAAGGCCCTGTGGTCAGCTAAGGAGGACACACACACACACACACACAACATTTGTGAGTGAGCAAGCCGATGCATTGTTACAGTCTGTTCTTAACCAAATGACCAAACTTCAACTTTTCCATTTAAACTCAGCGAACGGCAGCACAAAGAATCAACTCGAAATCTGTCCTGTTTTTGTCCATTCACTTCAAGTATAATTCAGATAAACACAAAGGTGTCTGTCTATCTTTAAGTGCCAGAGAAGTAGATATGGGAGGACTTGTATCACCACTGCGTCTTTGCCTCCTCTGCAAATGAAAGCAAAGTTCTTCATCCTGATAACATGTTCATGAATTAACAGCACCTCCGTGTAGAGAAGCCACAGCAGCCTCGGCTGCCTCCTGGTTCCTGGAGACCACTGCTACCCTGCAGCCCCTCTCTGCCAGCAGGCGGGCCACAGCCTCCCCAATCCCCCTGGAGCCTCCGCAGACCACCGCCAGCCTGGACATGACCCTGCTGGGGAGGACACAGTCCCACCCGAACAGTTGGAGGAAAAACTAAAAACAGCCAAGTAGCCTGGGATTATTCATCTCTGTGAGATGAAGTGCATGTTACACGTACAACTGGTTCTTACCTTATTTCGTTCTGTTAAACCTCAGTTGCCTTGACTGGCTTAGTAAAGCGAGACTAGCAGGATTCTGAATATACAGACGCCGCCATGTTTCCGAGCCTATATATGTGTTGCTAAGCACCAGCCAACAGAGGGCGCTGTGGACCCACTGAAAACAGACACCGGTTGAAAATGTCGCTTTCCTCCACAAGATTGTTTCAAGTAATATTTTCGGTAAGTGTTATAAAGCCAGAATGTTTTAACTGAGTCACAATTTTCGAAGAAGTATATAAAAGGCGGAAGTAAAACTTTAGAGAAAGCATGTTCAGTAGTTGTCTAAAATGGGGTTCAGTTTCCTACTGAATTTCTTATTTTCAATCATAAGACTTAACACAAAATATGTACATCAAATTTTACTGTAAAAACGAAATATTTTTTTTATTCTACAATTTCTTTAAAAATATTCCCAAACCTACAACAGACCAGAAGGCCAGAAGAAGGGGGGAGGGAGGAGGAACCAGCAGGTCAACAACTTCAAACTCACATCCACAGCTGCAATGGAATGATCAAGACCAAAGTAAACATTTGTGCTAAAGTGGCCTAGTTCAAGTCCAGAACAAAATACTATTGAGAATCTGTTGCAAGACTTGTAAGTCAATGTGAACAGACTCTCTGCACTTAAGATATTTAGTGCAAAGAAACATTTCAGTCTTTAAAAGTGCAATGCAATAAAAAATGCTCATCATAGGAGGAGAAAGAAAGCAAAAGACTGCATTGCAGAAAAATGAGTAATGGCAGGAATGGGTGGCCTTGTCCCACACCTGAACATCACACTGCTTCTCTGCAAGATTTATCTGCTGAGGTTAAACAATATTCACACGTAGCGCACACCTCTGGCCCCCCGGGGTCCTGTGAATCATATCCTCCCTGCAGCAGAAATCGGCGTGCTTTAAACGTCCCAGCTCCTTAACACGGTGTTCCTGACTGTAGTCTAGCTGTAGAGCCAGATTGGATTTGTATTCAGATCACCTCCCGAACACATTACTCCTCTCTGTCACACCTTGGTGATCCAGTGATCCTTGCCAGCAGAGCTGTGTACTTTTCTAACGCACAAACACTCCTAGGAAAAGAAAAAAAAAAAAGTTTTCATTGATTTTCTGAAAGTGTTTTCCAGAAGTACCATCTGTTCGTCCTTCACAAACAAAATCTGAACAGGAACAACCTGATGCTGAGCTCCTGAACTACATTCAGTCCTCAAAAGCTATTTTTGAACCACCTACTGTACCGTGACTTCTATTTTTAAACACATCCCAACCCTCCATGCACGCACCAAGTGGAACAGAAAATTATGCAAATGCACACTGCAGTTAGAATCTATCTCGATTATATGCTCTTGTTCTTATTTCTGCTGCCAAGTGCATAGTCTTGAGCTCGCATATCAGAATAACCTATTTCCATGGTAACCCGACCACTGCAGGGGACTGAGTGCAACATGATGACCTCTGTGGTTGCATGTCGGCTCCTGTCAGTGTTTCCCAGCAGAGCTCACCGGGGGAGGCTCACCTCTGTCTGAGAGGCTCTTCGTGGAAACAATGACCGCATGTACCCAAACTCACTCCAACTGTGTCCTGAGGAAAAACCAGAGCTGCTGCTGCTGCTGCGTGTGCATGCATACAGAGCAGAACCTTAACATGGATGTGAAAAAATACATCCACTGGTTTAGAAAGGTTTCAAAAATAAATTCATCAGAGAAGCAACCTCAAATTGAAAAAAAAAAGCAAAAATACTAACATAAGTTTGGGTACATTTATTTGATGGGGGGAAAAGCAATTTCCTGGAAATCTATTTTTAGTACAATCTCACAATCTCTCCTCTTTTTAAACTTTTCTGCTTTATTTCAAATGAATCAGGGTGTCTAGGAAACTGTAATTATTAACCCGTGGCTTTCTGTTTCTGAGAATCTAATGCAGCAGTGACCCGTTTACCACAGTGACTCCTTAAAATGGGAAAGCCAAGCAAACATGGCTTCAAAGTCCTCAACTCAGTGCAATTTGTAGTTGGATTATAATTAGCATCGATTTGGAATGTAACCAAATTTAACTTTGTACATATGACAGGATTGAGTTGTGTCTCTTTATATTTATAAAATGGATTATTTTGTCTTGTAATGTGCATTGAGCTGAAACTTGATGAGAATTGGATATATATATATAAATCAACAGAAACTTTGGACATATCTGCAAGAAAATTGGTTTTGAAATGCTCTTTTAATACGACCTCAAGATCGAGTTTTATGGCAGCAAAGCCTCTCGGTGGATTTGGTGTAAAACCAGGGATGGATGAGTGGAAAAGCACTCCATACTCACCGTTAAATACATCGGTGGATCTGTGATGCTGTGGGCCAGCAAAGACCCTGAGGATTACATAATCTGGTGGCCTCTGTTAGAAACTGAAGAGGGGAATTGACTTTTAGCAGGATAAGGATTCAAAGACATAAATACCTCATATAACCTTGAAATGGTTCACACAAAATCAACATTTATCCACAGTCATCTCAGTCTGCAAAAACCTAAAAAAAAAAGATTGAATAAAAGGAGTCTTTTTTAAACCCTCTTCACAAGGGCCACCAGTTGTTGCAGGAGATGGTGCTCAGCTGTTAATCAACACTTCTGTACATCTGTACTCCTAATCTGACCAGGAAGAAACGGCACCATGACAAAACATAAGACCTCAACAAAATACAGAAACAGTTTGATTTTATTGTTATAGATTTTTTTTTTGTTTTTACAAAATATGTGATTCCCTCAAATGCTTCAGAATATTTTTTTTATTTTCACATAACAGACATGATGTGCCAAATAATTAGATTTCAGTTTTACTAGTTTTAGGCATAAAACAGACTAATTAAGACAAAAAAAAAAAAAAAAAATCAAGTAAGTCACCTTGGCGTATAGACAACATGTTAGACTGGATGAGGCAAACATTGTTTGCTGATGCTCAGAAACGAATGAACAGACTTGAAAGTCACTTCAAGAAGCACTTCATGTTTGCAAACTGTGCAGCATATGCATGAGACGACAACCAGGTGTTGGTGAAATTAGCAATGCCGTGACAGTGCGTACGTCAGTAGAGATTTGTGCATTTATGCCTTTTTGGGTAAAGATGAAAGGCTAACTGGTGAAATGAGAGGAGAGTTTTGAGCAAATAGTCTGAGGTTGGTGTGATTGCCAAGACATCAGATTCATTCTACTTAAAAAGGACAAAAAAACAAAAACAAAAAGAAAAACAAGACCTGGACAGTGACGTGTACCATCGTTCTCCACATATGAGACAAATTATAACATATTCCAGCAGTCAGTCACACAGTGGTCCCCCTTAACGAACAACAAAAGGCAAAATAAGACAAAAAAAAAAAACAACAAAAAAAAAAACATTGAAAACGTGTGCTTGAAATTCTGGGTCCCGATTCTAAAAGCCAGAGTTGGCCCAAGTCAACGTTAAAATCTGAACAGGCTTCAGACGAAGACGACGTGAAAAGGTCAAATTGCACTAACCGTGTCAGTTGGTCTGCGATAACATGAAGGACTGCATGTACTTGATGATGATTTTAGAGAAATGTTTCCTCCTGCTGCAGCACAGTAGTCAGTCTAACCCAGCTAATTTCATTTCATTTCATGCTCAACAAGCCACAAATGTGACACAAGCCCCTCAAATCACAACATATTAAAAGGAATTCAAGTCTGTATCACATTTAAAACGGAAAAAAAAAAAAAAAAAAATTAAATAAAGGGCTCAAAGTGATTGATTTCGATAAAAATCTGAGATTCCACAGAATCGCACAACACGCCTCTTCCTGTGGAGGGATACGTCGTGCTACTTTAGGCAAACAGTCTGCGCTTCGGTCAGCAGTGTGCTTTATTGCCACAAGTCACATTAGGAAAGAGTTATTAGTGTTTAAAAACAGACATCCCAGTGAAGGGTTACTGTGTCGGGTCAGTCTTGAGCTCTACCAGCAGCAGGTATCGGCCTCTGAAATGCCTCGCAGAGATAAATATACAAAAACAATCTGCTTTGTTTCTGAAATGTAATGTGGCTCTAGTGATGCAGAGCTCTGTCTGGGTTCGGCTACTGTCGGGGGGTCAGGAGAGCAGCTACTCTGGTCAGTGAATATATTAACCAAAACGTACAAAAACTACTTTCGACTGCAAAAAAAGTTAATCTGGAGTGTAAATTTTTAAGACGTTTACATCCTCACTTTCCGTCCAGGCGGTGGCTTTACTAACGACATGCAAATATTTTGATCTTTGAAGGTAAAAGTCTGAAACAGCAACCTCTACCTCACCTCAGGAAAGGACAAAAAATAGTCATAGAAATAAAAAAAATAAAGAAAATCTGCCCAATGGCACAGAAATATTTAGTCATGTGCAGCATTCACAAATTTGAGCTTTGAGGATTCACATGTGCAATACAGCAGATCTCACTTCTACTCCTCTTGTTCAGGTAATGGGAGCAGCGGAGGATTCGGTTTTGTTGTTTTTCTTGCGGTGCAGCGCCTCGTTTGTTCCGGTCAGCTCCGTCTCCCTGCTGATAGCTTGAAACATTGATAAAACCTTTACCAGCAGGCCAATAGAAGCTCTGCGAACAGGGTCAGCTATGACATGAGGCGAGTGCACTACTTAAAGGGATAGTTCAGGGGTTTTCCAGGTGTATTGAACAGAGTTCCTGTTTGTTTGTTTTTTTTAAGATTATTTTATTTTAGTTTTGTTCTAAATTTATCCAGAACTGAAACATAAAAGAAACCATTTCCAAATTTTAACATCTATAAGAAAACTATGATTAACAAGCTTTTATGACAGATAGCATCTTACAGGTGGAAGCTAACTGTTAGCATCTTCATTAAGTATAAATCCACAATAACTGATCCTGGAGGCTGAAGCTAACGGCTAGTCCAAGACCAAAACGGACTTCTTAGTGTTAAAATAACTCCAATTTAAGCAGCGCTGTAACATTTTTATTTTTTGCAAACCATCTTCCGTTGTTTAATTACACAGGAAACTGAGGCAGTGGGTCGGTCGCCACGTCAGAGTGACTAATTTATAGAAAAGTCCTGTAGCGTTAAAAAAAACACCCCAATAAAAGTATCCACTTTCAGCTGGACTATATTTGCTTTTTACACTGCTTTACTTTTATATAAGAGCAGAAATACATCACTAGTTACTTTCCTGTTTCACACAGGAGCACTGCCACTGGCGCACCACCTACTACTTCCATTTCTTGTATAAATAGTCATTGGATTTAGTGGAAATAATTGGCTGATTTAAATGTGACAACAGCTTAAAAGTCCTTGCAAAAAAAATAAATTAGAGGAGTTCATAAAAGCTGCTTTGTTGTTTTGAGACCAGTCGTTTTAAATCTACTTTGGTTTTGGGCCCTGTTGGACTTCAGCTAATCTGGATTTATCCTGACTGAAGACACCTAAAGGAGTTAATCGCTGCATGTAAGATGTTTACTGCTGGTAACTTTACAACTCCAGAACTATCCCTTCAATCTCTCGATGTGTAGCTTCATAAAACGTCAACATGAAATAAGTTAAAAAGTGAAACAATCGGATGAATATTTCATATGGGTCGTTCCAGAACCGGTTTTGGTTGTGTCCTTATGTACGATAAAGTGAGGAACAGTACAAGGCACCCATTTTACAGCTGAATTGTTACAAATATATAAATAACCAAGAAAAAAACAGAAAGGTTTATGAGTAGTGTGCTATTTTCTCCACCTAACTCCGTCGTTCGCTGTGCTTTTTTATGAAAACAAAATGTATTTCTCTCCCCCAGCTCCGAGTGATTTTAACTTCAAGTGTTGTTGGGGCGGTTCTCTCAGCAGCGTTCACGCCGAGCCCGAGCGTCTCTGGTTAGATGCTGTCCACAAAGCTGCCGGGGAACAGGCCGGTCCTGCCGTTCCTCTGCAGCGTGCCTTTGAACCAGCCGTCCTCCCTCTTCCTGTGAACAAACACAATGTCTCCCTCCTTCAGTTCCAGCTCGGCCTCGCTCTGCGGGGGATACGACACCACCACCCTGTACCTGGGGAGGACAGCCAGAGGCACAGTCAGACACGCCAACGCGCAGCTTCAAAGATAGCCGAGCCGTCCTTGTGTAACGTTGCACCTTCTGAATCTGGGACAGACGGGACAATACGGCGAAACTTTCACATCAGTACCTCTCGCATATGATGGGACGTGCGTCATGTTGCTGTGACAGAAGAGAGGAGCAGGGCTGCCGAGGGGGCGGAGCGATGGGGGCGCATCCGTCGAGAGGGCCGCTCCTCCGGTGGGACGACTCCGGCATGGAGGAGGAGGACGAGGATGATGACGAAGCAACGGCAGCAGGTTCAGGCTCGAGGCAGCTGGCTGAGGTTGAGGGAGGGGAGGTGTCGGGACCCACCGCGCCGTACAGCACCTCTCCAGCCGCAGCTTGCTCAGCTTCAAGGGTGGGAGAGGACGGGGGCGAAGGACGAGACTTCTTCTTGTTGGAGGACAACAGCTTCAGAAGACTCTTCTTTTCTCTCTGCAACAATTAGATGGTAGAAATGAACAGATCTTAAAATCATTCACATGCCTTTATATCCTTCAAGAGACTCGTTTTATTGACAAAAACAAACACTGCTGAGAATGATTTTGTTGTATCCTATTGCAGCAATAGCCATGATATCGCTGTTGCCTAGTAACCTACCAGCTGGTGTTTCTCTGATCAGTTTGTACGAGCAACTCCAGGTCCAACTAATCAAACTATTTTGCCAAAAGTTGTTACAGAGTGAAGAGCGCTCAAAGTTAGTCTATCTAAACAAATTCACTCAGGCTGCAGCTACAGACAGCTAGTCCTCCACAGCTGATGCAGAGTTTCACCAACTCAAATGTAAAACTTTTTAAGGCCACTATGAATAAAATTTAAGACCCATATCACAACACAATGCACAGGCAACAGAAGACTGCCAGTGGAGAACATGTGGATGTTTCAGTCAACAGACAATAATTTACATTTACCCATGATGGATGCAAAACAACTAGCTAGCTAGGATTTATTAGCAGCTAGTTAGCGCTAGCCTCAACCGCCTTGAGATACATAATGAAGATTTCTGTATCAGACTCAAAGTTTTTCCAGACAGAAAAGTCTCACAAGAAAAATGAACTACAATTTAGACCTGTGATAAATGTATTTAAGTCTAAATGAAACATTTTCTAATGTAATGGTCTCCTTCACCATATCATACATTTGTCAATTCGGCCATTTTATAAAACATTCAATTCAAATCAACACTGGGGGCACATCATCCAACTTCAACAGAAAACAGGAAGGCAGTAAGACATATTCAAGCTGGTCTTTTTCTCCTTTCAAGGCTTCAACCTTAGTCTGTCATGTAATATAATGTTAAGCACACAACTACAGTTCCCTGGAGGAGAGGATCGACGTACACATGCTGTATGAGATGGGTATTCTGGCAGAATACACCTCTAATCACGCCTTTAGGCGGACAACACGGTTTGTCAGGCGCTCTTCACTGAGCCCAGGTTTTCCATCCAGGTGATAAAACTTGACAAAAGCATTGAGTGAAGATCAACAAGCAGCAGAGCACGAGTCCATTTTGAATGATGTCCATGAGGCTGCTACACTCCTGAGGCAGTGGGAGACTGATGCTCCTATAAGCTGGGGAGAAGGCCTCAACGATCCAATAAGACGGTATCTGTCTTGACAAGCTCTGTGCCTGGGGGTGTTGGCAAAGCTCACAAACAGCTGATCGGACAGCCACATCCTCTGTGAACGATCAACTTAGACACACAGTGCGCGCACAAGACTCAACCTCCTCTGCTCCACAGAAAAAGGGGAAAAAGTCCTACCTTCACATCCTTGTCCAGTCTGCAGGCAAGAGCTGAGTTAGACGAGGGATTGAGGGCAGAGTTACTCCCGACAGGAACGGGTCTCAAAGCGTCGCCGTCCAGAGACGCGGCGCTCACGTTGGGTGGGGTCAGAGAAGCAGCGGCGCAGCCCATCGCCACCCCCACCCGGCTACAGCCTTGAGCGGGATTGGTGGAGGACTGGGGGCAAATGGCGGCGTGTGGGAGGTAAGTCACAGACTGGATGGGCGTCACTGCAGCCGTGGGTCTGTCCTGACTGTGACATGTTGCTGCAAAGACCGCAGAAACGGCATGAGAAGGAGATTCTCATTCACGCCTTTAGGCAACGTCTGTGCGTTTTACCTGTTCTGACAGCGTTGCGAGCCTGATTCACAGTCATCTGCGAGTTGACGTGCAGGGGAACCTTTGGCTGCTGGCCTGTGGCCGTCTGGGCTGATGTTACAGCTGCAGGTGGGGAGCAGGCAGACGCAGCTGTGGAGCACGCAGGGAGGGGTTTGTTGAAATCAGGCCCAGGAACAATAGCCCCGAGGGGAGCAGAGGAAGGACTGACGATGGTGACTCCTCTGCCAGCCTGAGTGCACAGACTCATGGGCACTTTGGGTTGGGAGCTTCCAGACGCCGTCCTGATGGGGGAGAATGTAAAAGAAAATGGTGAAAACAGGGAGGTAGTTAAAGGGTTTCTGCAGGTTTCACCAACTCAAATGTAAGACATTTTTAAGACCATTATGAATTCAATTTCTGACCTTTATCATGACAGAAATGTACAAAAAAGAATTGCAAATTTTATGTAGTAGTAGTAGTGACAAGCCAACTAGCAATAAGTTTCGCTCACCCATTATAGATGCAAAAAGCTAAAATAAACTACAAAGAATAAACGAGATTTAATAGTCCTGCCACAACAAAATGTAAGACTCGTGATTAACATATTTAAAGCCAACTTGCATATTTTCTGACAGATTTAAAGGCTCTAATGTTAGATACATAAATGTAAGACTTTAAGGATGTGCAAACATCTGGTGTTAAATGAATAAACTGGCTCTCATAAGAGTCTCTCTACTCTACTGCTCTAAAAAGATGAACTAACATCAAACCGAGTTGGATTTTTGCACAAAGCAGATCACAGGTTTTACATTTTAAACTCAAGGAAATAAACTAGTTACACATTTCTAAAGAGGAATTTGCAAACCACTCAAACTGCTCATTTTTATGGGAATTTTTTAAAACATGGGATGGGTCTGTCAGGAATGTACACGGCAAATGTATCAATATAGTTCACAAAAGTATAAAAATAAATAACCTCTAAATAAAACAGGAGTTGATATTAAGGAATGACTGTGCAGACATGCTGCTGTAAAACTAAGCGTGAGTGTGCAGCATGCCGACCCAGCGACCAACCTGCTGACTGGGCTCATGTAGTTTCCAGGGAAGACTCCAATCTTTCCAGTGTGCATCGAGGTGCCCTTGAACCAGCCGTCCTGACAGCGTTCCAGCACTAAAAACATCTCTCCTTTCCTCAGCTCCAGCTCATCTTCCTTTCGGGGGGTGTATGGGAACATGGCCACATAGCTGGATCAAACAACAAACAGATAACGCAGCTTTCAAAACCGCCCCGGTGAAATCCCAACACCGCTCAGAAATAAAAGCAAGTTTGTGTGCGTTTGATTCCCTGACAGCCCAGCTGGACAGCTGTCCGCACCTCGGCCGAGGCCCTGCAGCACAGACTTCGCTCTCTGACCCAGAAGGAAGTCAGCACGAAAAGGATAAACAAGCTGCAGGTTGTCCGCTTACAGGAGCACAAGAACGGGGCTATAACAGCGGCCAGGGAAAAGTATGTACACCATAAAATCATTTACTGCATTTTATTGGGTTTTTCATATCAGGATTTCTGCAGGTTTCACCAACTCAAACCTGCATCTCCACAAACCGTCGTCCTGCCAACTGGTGAGAAATTTGCACTTATCCATAATAAACGCAATAAAGCTAGCTAGTTAGCAAGCAAGGGTGCATTAGTAGTGGCCTTATTTATATATACATGGATTTAAGACTTTTTAAGGATGCTCACTACATGATAGATCAACACAAAACAGTGCATAAATGTGGAGGAAGTGAAAGAAAATAAAAATCTATAAGGCACACTATGTGTTAGACAAAATTCTAACAAAATAAACTAAAAATTGTGGTTGAAGTGGGACAAAAATGTGAAAAAGCTAAAGGTACATAAATACATAAATGCGCATCGACCAACATGTATGCACTGGGAGATAAAGATGACCACAGGAGAAGCCGGGATGAGAGGAGCAAACACTCATCAGGTGTGTGGGTTGACTTGGGTGAGTAATGAGGGTAAAGGTGAGCGGGTCAAAGGTCAGAGGTGAGAGAAAGGATCTCCCTAAGGGACCCTGGAAGCCTTCAGTAACAGGTTTTGACCTTTTCACCGGCACACAAGCTCCGTCTGCAGGCCCACACCGACAGCTGAGAGGAGGGGGGTCACACCAAGATTCCCCCCTCCACCAACTAGGACGGTGGGTTCAGGCTGAACCACGGCAGCGACGATCCGCAGCATGTTTATGGAAACCTTAAAATCTCTGTTGGGAGTGTTTGTTTTCCTATTTTACTTACACTGTGGGTCTTTGTCTGCCACTTTGGTCACTTATGCTGGGGGAGGGTCTCTGTCCGGCAGCGAGGGAATACGCCGCTCCACTGACCGGGGACTGAGGAGGAGGAGGAGGCGGCGGAGGAAGAGCATCCTGTGAGAGAGAATAGGAAAACTATATTAGTGGTTAGACGGGATCAGTGTTCAATTACAATTTCACAACAATTCATTACTTATCTCCTCCTGTTATGACGCACAAACTCAAGAGCAAGAAGTAAGACAAACCTCAATAACAAAGTTATATAAGCGGGGGAACCAGTTTGTTTGTTTATTAGCAACAATGAGAGAAGGAGAATGAAAGACGATCGGTCACTTGGGTTATTCCCTTGGGTTTGCCCACACCAAGGGAGCACGGTCTGGCAGACACGCACTCCTATCCCTGACTTTCTCTTGGAAAGGAGAATCTCCTGTTCTGGTTGTTTCCTTGCTGCTAGGAGACCACATGGCTAGATCTTAAACCCACTGCAGTGTTTTAATTGGGACCATATGAAATGAGAAACATGTCTGTGAGCACAGTTTAGAGCAACCACCAGAACCAACCCGCGAGTGGACTCACGCTCTTCAGAAGATCTTCGACTGCGAACGTTTAAAACACTGCGAGGAAAACACGAAATTACCGCAAATGGAATAAAAACAAATACTGAAACCCCCCCCCAAAAAAAAAAAAAAAAAAAAAAAAAAATAAGTGAGCTGAAATGATGCTCTTCTACTCAGAAGTTCCCTGAGTCGAACACTGGCAGCAGCGAGCAGCAGAGTAATAGCTTCCATGACAGGCTGGGGGAGGAGAGTGGCGCTCAGACAGCCCTGTGGTGTCTGTGCGGGTCTACGTGTGCACGCCAGCGTCGATCTGCTCCACGGTTCGCTGCCGACGCTTGAGCTGAGGTAATTAGGTTGCCTGCAGGCTGGAGAAATCATGTGTACAAAAACATCATGTAGGTTTCCCAAGTGACGCGGAGAGCTCAACCTTTTGTGTACAACATTCCTGCTCATTCAATAACTCTGCATACCAGAGTGGACGCACGGAAAGACAGGAAGTGTACGTGCTGTTTTCAGCGGCCTGCAGGACGTTTTAATGAAACTTTTAAGGCTTTGTGGACTATCAAAATATCTCTAGGAAAGAGTTGTTTTTTTAAAGCACAATTTTATGGTCATTTTTACACGCTCGACCATCTACAGTGCCTTGTAAAGGCACTGTAGATGGTCACACCCATTAACCTTTGGCTTTTTGTTGCATTCCAACCACGAAGTTTACTGGGATTTTACGTCACACACCAACACTAAGTAGAGCATAATTGTAAAGTGGAAAAAAAATTTCAATATTTTTTTTAGCAAAATGTAAATATTTATATTCACAGCCCTGAGTAAACTCAGTTCAACCTATAAGACTTTAGGGTTGCATCTCCATCACCTTTACAGACTGATGTTCCTCTTTTCAAATTACATTAAGCTCCACGAGATCAGATGTATTCCACGAGAGCATCAAGAAATGTAATTATATTAAATGAAAAAAAAAAAAAAAAAGATTATTGTGTGCCGTTTGGTGATATAAGTTACACTTTAAGTGAGTGGCGTCCTGAAGAAGCCTATTTCAAATGGGAATGTTTTTCAAAAACAGGATTTGTGTTTTTGCCAATGTGAATGCTGTGACATGCAGTCACATCAACCAAGAGATCTAAAAATGTAACAGTTTTTCACCGTAATTTTTATCTTTATCACAATAGTACCACAAAATATTGCAATAAAATTCTAAGTCCATGTCACCCATCAATCCAACCAAGTCTCCGTTCCTTTGCACTCGGGTATTCTTACAGGATAACCTCTGCATATAGCCCAAACATGAACTGGGTCTGCACCAAAAAAGAAAAAGAAAAAAAAAAAGAAAAAAAAAGCATTCCCACATCACCATGCTGCCACCACCAAGTTTCTTCCACAGCTTTGAAATCGGGGTTTTTACTGTTTTCTCATGCTGCTTCTCCAATGAATAATCTCCTCACCCTGTCGGTCATTTTGACCACCTTGTCTTGGTTGGTTGTGTCATGCTCCGAGACCTTTAAAGGACAACTGCATTTAAACTGGAACCAATTAGTTCATCGAAATTTACTAATGAGATGAAAGAGAGGGCAACTGGTTGCATTGGACTTTATTTTAGAATATCAAATTGCACCTTAAACAGGGCTGGGCGATGTGGCTTAAATAAAATCTCTAATTCTTTAATGTCAAATTCAATTTCTGATTTTAAATAGATTAAACAGAAAATATCTGGCATTAATTTGTTGTGCGAGTTCACCTGAATTCAAAGTCAAAGTAAACAGAAGTTGTAAAACACGCTTGTCAAACAAGATGTTAGTTCCTCACTCTGGAGACCCAGAAAGTGCATTGGTGAAAAAAAAATAAAAAATTAAATCTTCAAAAACAGAAAATTTGATTCATGGATAAAATTGATTTGTCGCCCAGCCTTAACCTTAGACTTTTATTTGTAAACCTGGAATCATGCACTACTTTCTCTGTTGATCTCTTAAATAAAATCCCAATAAAAAACTTTGCCTTTCTGGTTGTAAAGTGACAAAAAGTGAAAATGTCTAAGTGATATGAACAAGTTTTTTTAATTACCCCTAAACATTTGTGAAACTTCCACAGTGGGAATCTATTGAACTGGTAAAGCTTCAACAGCTCGTCCATGTTCGACCTACCAAAGCGATGGAGGTGTAGCTCGTCTCTGAAGGAAACGTGAAGACCGTTGCTGTGGTAACCGGACTGCTAGGGGGTGGGGTCACTATTAGTCCCGTTGTGCAAATATGTACCTGTCAAAGCAAAGAGAAATGCTGACTATTTAACACACACTCCTCTCATCCAATAAGAAACCGGACACCCTCCAGTGAACACATTATTGTAACCAATTATCTGATTAATTAGACATACAATACAATTACACACTGACCATTAACGCAGTCTCATTACTTGGAGAGTTACACTGTGTGCCAGGATTTCATTAAAAGAGAAAAAAATCCCTCTCCTGTCACATTGTGTAAATGACCCGCTGAGCAACACAGAACACATGTGGCTTTGTATCCGAGCTTTGACCACGACGCTCGCCACGCGGTCCGATTGGTCGAAAGGAGTCAGGTGATCACACACAAGGGTATTTCATTGGGCATGTTATAAGCGGGCAGAGGAAGGGGGGGCTTTCCCGGTCGGTCATCCACCCGAGTCACTGTGGTGTCCTGGTAACAAGGCAACACTGTTGGGACACACAATATGCCCCTGTAGCTCAGTGACTCTCCACGGCTGGCTGATCCAGACAGATTCGCCTCCTAAAGGTGAGCCTCTCTGGGAGCGGGAAGCAGCCGTGCGCTCGCAGGCACCTCGGAGAAGCAGCTCGCTAAATGAAGGTTCTTAGAAAACGGAGATTTCTAGAATCTTCTGGGGATCTTGGGCTTATCTTTGTTATTTTCTTCTTTTTTTTTTGTTTGTTTTGTTTATTTTTTGGTGGAAAGACGACAAGTGCATGCGAAGGGAAAGAGACTGGGCATGCAGAGGCAGAACAGTCTTTGTGTTGTGATTCCGCCTCCCCCAAAAAACAGTCATCTGCTTAAAAATCTGTTGTGTTGTCAGTGGAGAAGATCGCTTTACAGCCACACACAGGTTCTCTGGGAGCCTTTATGGCTGAAACTCATACATAGTAAATCAGAAATGCCCCAATCATGCTTCTCCAGGCCAATACGGATTTATGATTATCTTTGAAACTTAGCCTGCTGATAACCATTTTGACCAGATCTAATTTGATATTTTAAGGAAAACAAATGCATTGCAGGTATAGATAGTAGCTTCAAATCAAAGCAAAAAAGAAGAAGTTACTAGATTAGATCCGATTTTGATTAGAGGAGCACGATAAATCAGCATGAACATCGTTATTTGTTAATATTAGTCAATGGTTCGATGAATAAAACTGAGCTGATAACCAATATTTTATTTCCAGCTTGTTGGCGTTTGTTTCTGGAGAGTTAGGGGAAGAGGTTAGTCATGTGATATTTGTCTGGTCATTTGACAGTGAAAGTGTTGCAGCAAAGGATTGTGGGGAGTTTAACTGAAGCAGAGAAGCAAAAGTGAATCAGCAGTGGTCTTTTTTTTTTTGTCAAGGTGTCTTATTGGCCCAAATTTTCACATCGATTCATCACTAATTTTTATTGAACTCAAAACTGAGTGCATCAAATTTAATGGATACAACCATACAGATTATAGTTTCTATGCACTAAATGAAAGATGAAACAGATTTTCTTTTATTTCTGTTTTATAACAGATCACTAATCAGAGGCAAACAAGGGACAATTGGATGATCGATCGGTGCATCTCTACAGAAACAACAACATGCTCAGAAAAACATCCTCAGGAGAGGCTTTGCTGCAGAGGAGCTCTGTGTTTGTCTCAGAAAACTCAGGAACATTTAATGGTAGAAGTTAACAGGAGGTTTTGGTGCAGAGATTTGCAGAAAGTCTAAACGCATCAAAGCAAATATGTTCCAGAGAAAAAAGTACACAAAAACACAGACGGTAATAAAAAAAACAAGCTGAATGAAAACTCAAAGTCGATGGAAGTAGGACATTCGTGCGGCAAGAGAGTCGTCATCTGTGTTTCATATTATTCACAAACCAAACCCGTGTTATTTTTTTAATGCCAGTCATTGTTGAATATAAATAATGTTGTAAGAGAAGAGAAAATACTCAAAGCGGTGACAACGCTAGTGAGATTCTGTCTAGAAAAACAAATGATAAATTCATGGCGCATGTTAAAGGAGGCCTATTCGCAAAAAGTTCCCGGGATCTTTATGCTCAGCCACTTCGGCAGTTTAAAGCGACATCAAAGTAATTGTTTTGTTTATCTCGACACGTCTGTTTTTCTGGCCTTAAAGCACCGAATCAAGACTGCTCTGCCAGCAAGTAGAAACCACAGAGCAGCTTGGTGTGGAAACCTTGGGGGCTAAGCTGGAGTCATTTCTGTGGATGAGTCGAGTCGCATATGGATGACTTTAAGTTTCTAAAATCAATAATAGTTTGCTTGGTACAAAGACAGAGAAAGGGACATTTGTCTCCATGTTCAAAGGAGGAAAGTGGAGCTTTGAGGGGAAAAAAAAGGTTGGGAAAATAAGAGAAGCTAAATTGAGAGTCTTGCATAAATGCTTGAATGTTGGACCCTTTATAATGGCCATATTGTTGGAGTTTACTGAACTGGTTCAGATCATCAGTTTTAACCAGATTAAAATAGTAAAAAAAAAACCTCTGTTCATGTCAGTTTTGTATTATGTGAGAAATCCCAAAGGCTAAATCCAAGGTGAACCCCAAAATGTTACATTGTCTAGGAGATGGAGAGAGGAATACACCAAATAATACAATTAGTTTAACAATCACATTTAGAAAAAAAAGAAAGAAAAATGCAAAGCAGCAATTTGTTTTGTTCCCTCAAGAAATAAAGTTCAACAAAAAAATCTCAAAGCTACAGGCCAAAGCATCTACCAAACCTCCAAATTAAAAAATAGTTTATAAACTGGTTATTTGATTTAAAAAAAAAATATTTTTCTCCAATAATCAAAACTTTTTATTTTTTATCTGATAAATATCACATTAACTGCACTCCATTCAAATGTTAGATACATTAAAGTCCCAACTATATGCATTACTGGCCAATTAAAGAATGATAAAAACACCTAAATAAGACAAACAAAACTTATGATCTGAAGTCATGTCTCTCCTGTCAGCTCACCAGTAGACAGTACATGCTGAACCAAAACAAAACTGCTCATTTATCATCTCCTACATTAAATTACTCCCATATTTTTTTTCAGTTTGAAGATAAAAACTGAAGAAACTGATTAAACAAGTTCCTGTAGTACTTTGCAGTAGTTGCACTTTTTTCTAACTTATATTTTGCATGAAAACAGAAATAGATTGCTGTGCCAGCCATATGATAAATGCTCCCACAGGTGAGTGAACAAGTAATTGACTGGTCTTGGCTTTCGGCTCGTCATTAAAGGCTGATGGTGGATCTCAAACGCTGACTAGTTAGGAACTGGCTTAGACGGAGCTGATTAGTGGTTGGCGCCAAAACCGACTGACACACACACCACACCCACAGGATGCCAACAGACTGAAGCCAAGCGCTACTTTATTTTGTCTAATCGCTCCAATAGTAACAATAAAAAAAGTAACAAAATTAAAGAGGCTACATTATGTATTTTCCAGGCATTTTATGGCACAATCCAGTAACTATGTTAACTATAATTGTTATAAAAATATGACATGTAGGAAATTCGGCTTTGTAGGTTAATGTCTTCAAATTGGGCCTCTGTCACTTTAAGAAACTCCTGCTCTTTCTAAAACTCCACTCCCAGGAAGTCATCACAACATGGCTCCTCTATTAACCCTTTAACAATGATTTAACCAGGGTTGCACTGAGCAGTAGCTCCTATAATGAGTTCAGCAGATGCTCAGTTCCACCAGGTGTCTGCTAATTGCTGCTGGCTAGTCTGAAGGAGCTGAGTGGGGAATTATGGAGAGAGGGCTGCTCTGTGAGGCAGCTCTCAGTTCACCCAGCTGTTTTTTACAGCTGAATGGTTGCCACGGGAGATTAAAGGATTTCTCAAACATGCATGAAAGAAGCAAGGCAACACACCAGGTGGGCTTTTGATGAGGCAATAATATCATAACATGATGTAAAGTCGTTTTTACACAATACTGCCCCTTTAATAGAATTGTGAAGACGAGAACTCACTGCCCAAACTAACAAGTCAGAAATGAACAAAATCCAGGAAAACTATTCCTCCATGCATCTCCTGCTGACCATCCTACCTGTGAAGGTGCGCTGCAGGAAAGCCCCCCGCTGATCTCTCCGATCCGGGCGGCTGCGGTGGGGTTGCTGGAGCTGATGAGGACCGGGCCGCTAATCTCCATGGAGTGGCGCTGTGGCGGGGGAGCGAGCATGGGTTTGTGGGACATGGTGAGAGAAGTGAAGGAATGTCGTTTCTTGGTGTTCTTCTTCTCCCCTGGTCGCTGGGCGCCGTTGCTCTGGGGTCCCAGGGAGGCCCCTTCAATGGACTCTCCACTGGAGTCGGATGGCTTGTCCAACTCTATGAGCTGGCGGGCTGCAGAGTTGAACTATGGAAGAATATGAGAAGCAGGGGGGGCAACAAAGAGAAAATCACTAACAGAGGAAAATTGTTTTGAAATCTGACCTGCAGTTGACTGGCCTATATTTTCTTACATTTTAGCCCTTAAAGTAATGCCATAGTCAAAGATTTACCAAAACTGAATGTGCAGAAAAAGTTGGATCTCTGATGAAGCATTAATGACCTTCATCTTAACGGTGTCTGAATTTCTACTTCATCAACATATTATCAGAAATACTGCTGCTTCTACAAGCAGGACCAACTTTATTTTAAGGAAGCTTATTGGTCTCAGCCAGCTGATAAACTGCAGGTTTCGAGACTTAGGCAACATAACGTGCGAGTGAAAGACGAAGGTAAAAATCAAAGCAGCAGTTTTGGTTAATCACAGGGTGCTTGAACTACTTGCCATCATCTCTTGCCCCAAGCAGCTCTTTTTACTTAAAAGACTGAAACCCTAAAATGTTTCAGAGCAATCGAGTGGGGAGTCTGTCTGGGTTAGTAACTGAAATATCAAGACATTAAAAAGGCAGACAAGTACCAAATCATACAATAAATCAACTTCAGATGAAAACAAATGGCCCAGAGGAAAGGAAAAATGCAATGACCTAAATATTCCTTCTTCATGCTGAACTTTCATTGTTTAAAAATTTACAGAATGAGCCATTTCTCAATTCTGTCTCTCACAATATTAACAATGACTACAATCACAGTGAAACCAGAGGAGGAGGGGATTTATACTGTAAAATACTCCCAGGCTAAAATAACTTTAAACATATTTTGCTTGTATTTATTTTTCCTGAATATATAGACAAGATCGCTTCTGACCAGTAAACCAAATCACCAGTGTTTCCTGCCTCTGTAGTTTTGGTCATTTTATACTAAAACATAAACAAATAAAGTTACGTTCCATGTTTAGTCCCGACCATGAAGAGGAATCTGACCAACAAATGACAGAAACAGGGAGAAACACAACATTACGGGAGATTAATATAAAGATGCATGATATTATCGGCACCAACATCAGTATCAGCCGATATTAGTCATTTTTTAACATATCAGTATTGGTCCGATAAATAAAACTAGACCAATATTAATAGCTGATATTTGTTTCCATCTCGTTGAAGTTTATTTTGGTAAAAAAATTACTTGGACCATTATTTTAGTAAAGTGATGATATACGATACATAAAATGTCGGTAAATATCACCAATTGACCATAACAGCAATAGTACATTTTCATATTGAGGCATCCATGGGTCAAATGCATTTAAATTGATTTATACATGAGATTTGAACCTTTCTTTGACTAGTTACCACCATAATTAAAAAATACAAAGGAAAAAAAAAAATCATACGCAGTAGCTAAGTACAAAGGAATGAAATGCTATAAAGGTTAAAAGAAATGACTCCGACAAGACGAGACACTGACCGTGTCTAAGAGAAAAAGATCCTTACACAGAAAACACTTGTGTTTCATAAACTTACAAAGATTTAAATGAATAACTAAATAAGAATAAAATTAGACCATGATCAAAATCCCAGACATCTGACTGTGAGTTTCATCACAAGAATGAAGTTACACCCTTACCTCCACGTATGAGATGGGGAAAATTCCAATTTTATCTCCCAGCATTCCCTCAGCCCAGTTTTCATCAACTCTGCGGATCACGGTCAGGATATCATCCTAGAATAACACAACAGAGAGGAAACAAAATGTAAATAAGGGTTGGTATCTAGCGCAGAGCATTGCTCAACCTTAGGGAGTGAACTTCAGAGCAGAAATAATGAGCAGGAGAAGAGTTTTTGGGGTTTCTGAAACAGAACATACCCTGCGACTAAAAACAGCCCATCAGATGAGACACTTTCCGACCTTGTTTCTGGTGTTGCTCGTGTGGCATATAAATTGATGACAGAATCCAAAACAATCAACTTATGACCCAGCAGTTGGATAAACAAAGCAGCTTAATTACTGTAGTTAAGCGATGCCTCACTCTGTACGCCATTCATTCTCTCCAGCCTAATTACAGCTGCTCATCAAGAGGCCCGGCTGAAAATCCAAAACGTTGCTGTGGGTGTTTCATTTAAAAAGCCTGACGTTCTGACACGCACATGACTCCAGAAAATGAAGGCCTACAAGGCAGAAGCGTCACTGTAATGAGAGGTATTTTGGTTTTACTGCGCTGGCTATGTGGCAGGAGAGCGGCTGCTGAACGTCTGCGGCGTTCTCACCTTACAGAAGGGCAGGCAGTCCTTGTCGGCCTCTTTGTCTTTCAGTTCAAAGTCGTACAGAGCTTTGCACTGAGGCGGCGGCTGCGGCAGAGGCTTGATGACCTGGACGAAGTTAGTGGGGAAGAAGCCGTGGACTCCGCCCATCTCGCCGTGGTACCAGTTCTCATCCACTTGCCGGCGCAGGATGATTATGTCGCCTTTGCTGAATTTGAGGTCTCCAGGTTCTTTGCCGTCATAGTTGTACAGCGCCTTGGCACAGGGAAGCTGGGGCATTCCCTGAAGTGGCACAGAGATTTGTAAAATAAATTTTTAGCTTGATTGAAGAATCAGATTTTTTTCAGAACACTTAGTGCTGCTAAGTCTCACTGCTCAGTGCTGTTACAGAGTAATAAATCATCAAAGTTAATGACTGTCGGCATCTGTGACAGTCGGCATATAGCCAGAGGAAGCTCAGATATGTGAGCAATTTAAAGGCAGCTATATGTTCAACTAAATGGAGACATGACTGCAGTTTACTTAAGCTACGAGAGAGCGAGCAAGAGCAAGTCTTCACAGATAACAGGAAGACTGACCGGAGAAAGAAGCTGCTCAATTTCATCTGGCTGAGCTTTGAACCTCTGCCCGTTTTCAGAAATCTCAGATTTTACCATGGAATACATGCAGATTGCAGCTTTACCAATGTCACTTACATTAAACTCAATACTCATTTAATTTTTCTTTTAAGTATTAGTTGAACCCTATTTTCTAACTCACACATGACATCAAGGTCTATAAGACATTTTCAGTGCTGTTCTTCTGTCTTATGTGTATGATCCGATATTGGTATCGGAAATCAGCTGGAGAGTCAAAACCCAGGTATCGGATTACATTGGTCAGAAAATTTCTTATACACACAGATGGATGCACTCTGCTCCAGCATTCAGTCTGGATAGCAGCATTTCTATCCAGCAGCGCTTTGTATTTCGCATGGAGACCCATTAATAGATGGATCAGTTGTTCTAATACGTTTTGTTGTTTACTATTGTTTTCTGAGTAATTTCACCTGATAAGCATTCTCTAACAATCTATACTGCAAAATAAGCAGTATAGATTGCTGCTTATTACATGTATGAATCATATGTATGATTCATACATATGAATCATATGTATGATTCATATTAGCATGAATCATACATAAAAGTATGTATGATTCATGCTAATATCATATCAGGTCAATAACGATATTGACCAATACTCCAATATCGATATTGTATTGAAAGTGAAAAAGTTGAATCGGGAACCAGCTAAAAAAAGAACCACTTTATTTAATTTTTTTATTTGATTATTTCTCTACATTTATCTGTAATATTTGTTACAAAAACATGAAGTGAAGTCATTATTATTTATGTATGTACAAGTAAAAAGCCTGCACAATCAGAAATACCCATATAACAAGTTTGAATTGGAAATAAATAAATGCAGGCTTGAGTTCAGTCACCACCAAATGGAAAAAGATGCAATGACACCCTTCATTTAAAAGGCGACAATGTGGATTGTATTGTTTTCAAGTGATAAACAGATGATTATGAGCTTGTCTGGTTTAAGTTTGATCCATTTACGTTTTAATAATATTAACATAACCTACACAAATGTGTGAAACTCGGGCAGCTAGCACATGGACACAGCAGCTCTCCTACAGGCTGAAGTAACTAATCAGAGCATCTCTGCTACAGTATGAGCCTGGCTGATTCTGTAACTTCTGACTGGGGGCTTGAAAGTACGCAGGGCTCTGTGCGTTTTAATAAGCAGAGGAAGGTTTTGTATCCAGGCCTGCAAGCCTGCAGTCCTGAAAGGCTCATTCAGGGAATGACAATCCAGGGAAAGAGGGAACGCTAGTGAGGATAGTGAAGCATCAATGTTCTCTATTCAGTGAGGGGGTCCATGAGAAAGGCTTTGGTCCAAAACAACCCCCACACTACCGACCCCGCTGCTGCTGGTCGCAGTCCACAGTGATCAGAATCCCAAACACCTTCAGTCGATTTGATCTGAACTCCGAAGCCAAAATTGAAAAATTACCGTTGGGACGACAGAAAGAGACCCAAAGTGTGCGCTGAAAGTCCGAGACGGAGCCAGACACGGAGGGGTTAATGCGGAGTTTGGAGTGGGCTCTGCAGTCTTGTTAAAGACTAATGAACCGTTTAAAGGCTCAGAGGAGAATAAAAGTACAGAATGAGCTGTGATGGTGAACCAGGGTGACATTACCCTGCTGCAGAGAATCACACAGTCTGAAGCACAGAGCCAATCACACTGCGGCTCTGCCGCCGGTCCGGCCTGTGGAGAAGACGGGGAGACGAGGGGTGCGCTGCGGCCCCTTGGACACTGCGCTGGAGCTGGGCCTCTCTGCTTTTTCAGAGGGGAAAAAAACAAGGCTTTTGAAAGTTAAAGCTTTGACATTTTTGTTTCAAATGACAGAACGGGTTCAGGTTAAACAAAATAAAGTGAAATCCAATTACATGGTAAATATGAAATGCTTGTTCTCGTGAAACGGCGACATTTGTAATCGCTTCTGTGTACAACCAGGCGCAATAAAGCCTGTGTCCAAAGTCAGCCGTGTTATGCAATTTATTTCTGTGACTGCAGCCAATAAATAATCTACTTACAAACATAACAGTTTGAATTAGCCGGTTAAAAGTATAATTGTTTTGTGTTTTTATTATTTCTCACTCAAGCTTTGTAGTCAACATATTAACTGACACTTTGTGCTATTCTCAGACCTTTACTGCCCATTTCTAAGCTGAGTTTAGGTCCTGCTGTCTGGAGTCATAAAAGAGGTGTTGTCAGCAGAGCTAAATTTCCATGTTTCACTTGGCTAGATGCAGTGAGAGTAACAGGGAGGGGAGGGGGGAAAAAAAATTAGGAGACTGTCTGTACGGGGCTCTGGAAGAACGAGTTAGTGAGGGGGGAAAGACAGGGTAAAACTGGGGCTGGAAGATAGCTCAGGGGGGTGGCTAATATCCGGTGCGTGTCCACAGAGACAGTGTTGTTGTTTCTAGAATCAGGCAGCATAGAGAAGTGTGCAGATGCAGAGCAAAGGAGGCTGCGCTCGAGGAGAAAACAAACCAAAGTGAGCCAATATCACAGGAATGTCCTAAAAACATCTCAAACACACAAGCGTATACAGATAGATCAAGCTTTTATTGCTATTAGTCTGTCTCCAGAAACAGGACGAGACTCGAACAGAGCGCATCTCGTGATGAATCTCCCTCGATTTTATGCTCCAATAAAAAAAGAGCAACTACAGAACAATTCAGCACCAGGACGATTATCTTTTATTCCTCCGTCTTCGCCGATGGTTTGAAAAATGAGCGGAGAGACTGCCGTAGTGATTACAGGATCATACGCCACTGTAAGACTGCTGCTACTTAACAAGAGTACACACAGCCAACTTCAAGTGACTTACAACCTCTTTAAAGATTTATAATACACGATTACCCACAACAGCAATAACCCACTTTGGCCTAAGAAAACAAAAAGCCAATGTACAGGCCACAAGAGGCTTATGTTTCTTTAAAACTAATATGTTAAACCAATCCACAGGCCACAATAGCACAATGCGGAACAAAAAACCCATCACTGTTGTCGTGCCAATTGAGCTTTCTCCACCACGCATGTGTATCGTAACATTAGATGGAAAACATCTATTTTTCCAGGATCTGGAAAAATAGATGTCAAAGCCTCAGACCTGCTAGTGGAAATCTCAACAATCCGTGTTTTTGTGAACCCATCATAGCTAAAGGTCGCCAGGTCACGGTTTCATTATTTTTGAATATTCAACCCGGTATGAATATTTGAATATTGAATATTCAACCTAATATTTTTCTGCTATGAAAAATATTGGATTTAGAAATATTTAATTTATTTGTTTGGGGCAATGAATGTTAATTAACAGATTTGCAATAGCATCTGTTGTCCTTGGACAATGAGTAATTTATCTCGCTAAAATTTAACAAAAGTCATACAAACAAGGTTAAAATGACAACTTCACAAATTTTGTCAATAAATACAAAAAATACAAATCAATACAAAACAAGGAAATAATTATAAACACCATAAGAAGTAAGTTTAAAAAAATGAATTAATCCATCTGGATGGCAAAACACAAGTGGGATTAGGAGAAGGTACTTATTCAAGATCTGATGTGCAATGAAGCAATGCTTTAATTGTTTTTTTAAACAGATTAGAAGCGATAGCTATTTCTAAAACTAAAAGTTAAAAGTCTACTTTTCCCAGGGAATACAAACATAAAAGGATGTTTAAATAATGCTAACTTTGCTAAATGCTAAACTCTACAATACTTTATTTCACAATGCTAAAAACTATTTTCCTTGCTTCTTCTCCTAGCACAAATAATGACCAATCATTGCAAAAACCCTGCAAAAGTATTCTGAATCTTGTTTCTTTTTCATTCAAAAATGTGTCATGAAGGAGAATCTGTTTTCATAAGTTTGCTTCTCTTCCTTGAATTCAACTGTTCATTTCAGTGAGCAAAAGAGAGAACTTAACGATGAAGGGAAAAACAGAAACCCGTCCCCGTCTGAGGACATCAGCTGGTGTTTTGCAGCTAATGCAGTTAGACCTGTGTGCTAAAGGGATTTTACTGTTATAATGTTCTCTTCCACAGCGCTGGGCTATAAGTGAATTACCCATGTGTGGTGCTGTACAGCACAAGGAGTGAGTAAACAGGCATTTAAAACGAAAAGCAGGCATGCAGGACTACACTTAGTCTACGCAAACAGCTTCATTTTACAACCTTTGTTGTTTTGATTTTTTACAACCATATTAAAGACAAAATATGCCTTCCTTGGTGCTCAAAAGCCCAAATAAAACTACGTGATCCACACAAAGTAAGCAACGTAAATGAATTGGACTTGAACAACAGCATATCTTAACAGCTAAGGATGCGGTAACTTTTGCTCCATCAGCAGTCTGGGAGCAGTGTGCAACCACAGCAGACTGGAACCTTTACCCCCAACCAGCAAGTGTCAGACATGACTCCACTCCCATATGGGCACATCCAGAATCTCAGCGGGGGCTCGGAGAATGAGCCGGGGGTACTGCTGCCAAAACGGTGCGTGTGTAGCGGTGGGGTTAGTCTGGCCACTGTGCTGCTACGAGCAAATCCAGGCTTGTTAAGCATTCGGAGAGAGAATGAGAGAGAGAGAGAGTTGGAGGGCAAGCTGCCTTTTTACAACCAGGCAGCAGATTGTTGTGGGTGTCGTCGTCAGCGCTGCACCGAG